ACTTCGACCAAGTTATCCGATCATAGTTTTTTTTTGACAATATCGTTTTCTGCTATTGGTTCTTACATGACTGGATCCTAATGTTGTGATTGACTATATAGTCTATATCGTATCCTTGTATTTGACATGATCATCAAACTTTTGGCTCTCAATATAATTATTATCAAAAACTTGGTTGACAAAATCTGATATATTTTGATTTGGTAGTTGTTCTACATTTTACTGTATTTGAAAAATCTGACATCTCTTTTCCAATCTCTAGGGTTCACCTTCCTTGCTTTCGAATATGACTTGACGAGTTGGTGGCTGTTATATCGACTAGGGAGCCACACCACACCACACCATTAAACATTTAGCTAATAAGATCTTACACTGATAAAGTTGCATACAACCACGCTACATGATTGTGGCTTGTACCAAACGAGCGACCAGACCAGTAACCTTAGAGGTATGATCTCTTTGTTATTCAAGCTCAAATAATGCAGAAGACTTCTCTTATCAGTTTTGAACCATTCTTAATATTCTTATCTTGTTGATATATTTGTAGGGTCATCAACCAGAATTACAAATACCCGATCAGTGAAGTTTGAAAAAGCTCTACTAAAATTGTGGACTATGCATCAGCTATTAACCAAAAATGCAATGACTTTGAAGTTTTCGAAGGTTTCTTTGTTTTTTTTCTTTTTGTTTTTTAAATTCCTCAATTTATATTTTTTGAATATCATCATGTTTTTTTTGTTTTCTCTATTAAATACCTAAAGCTTTGTCAAGTTTGTGAGCGTAAGAAATGGTTTTGGTGAAATGGTTTCATTATTGTATTATTGTAAGTACTAACTGTTAGTACTATCGACTTCTCAGGAAGGTGTTATTTTGATTTGTTATATATACCAATTTCTCTTTAACCAAATGATCGTAAACGAGATTTCACTATTGATCAGTTTTCTTGTTAAAAAATAGGATTGTCAGAAAGTGGAATAAATATATTCCTTAGATGGCAGTTAAAATCTAAAAACAAGTCTCTTTGATGTAAAGAAGCGATTCTCTGAAAGACTTTTGATACAAAAGCTTAATGTTACAGATGAAACTACCATTGAGGTTATAATCACTTCCCTCAATCTATCTCCTTTCCTGTGGCTAATTTGTTGTGTAAATTGTATGTTCTTGAGCTTTTATGTCTTTTTCTGAAACTGTGTCATCGGTTTATTTGGGAATCAGCAAGAATCTGTAAGAGAAAGATATGGTTCTCTAAACCTAATATAAATGCAACCGGTATTCTCTCAATTCCTGGTGTATTGCAGCCAGGTATGAGTAGTGTCTTTCATTTGTTGACTAATCAATCGCATCGATCTTAGGACATGTTAGAGAGACTTTAGTTTCAGTTTTTTTGTTTACTTTTGATCTCAGTACAGAAACAGCCTTGAACAAGGTTGAGAAGTCATCATTGATGCTTGCTTATGAGGTTAATGCGGTTGGTCCAGTTCTACTGATGAAGGTAAGAGACTCCAAAACAGAGTGAGAAATGGTGATAGCAAATCCAAGTAATGCATAGACATGAAGTCAATGGAATCGCAACGATTTGATGAAAGTCTTTATTTATCTTTGGATACAAAGAGTTATACAAAAGTTTTTGGCATTCCTCGCATAGATTTGATCGATGGTGCAGCTTTAAGGTTTGATCTATAGGTTCAATATACTTGTAAAGAGATTCATCGTTTCATGCAATAGTGTGAAACTCAATTTCACATCGTACATTATTGTCTTTTTTTAGTATTATTTTGAAGTATTAACAATTTAATATTTAAGTAGCAACTTAAGAGAGACGTTGGATCAAAAAGGAATCATCTAAACCGTTAGATTAAGTTTTCATTTTCAGCTGATGTCCTACATAATAATTAACGATTGCTACTGTCAAAAACCTAAAATCATTTCTCTTTTCAGTGCCGACGCGACGCTTTCTTGCTTGAGGGAGATCACAAGAAAAATAATGACGTTTCCCAATCTCCCACGAGTATTGGAATGGGAAATACTCTCTAGGGTTCCGGCCACATCTCTAACCAGATTCCGATATACATGCAGACGATGGTATGCTTTATTCAAAAACCCTAGATTCATCGAGAAGCATTCAGGTAAAGCAGCAAAGCATTTTATCTTAAAGAAAGACTTTGGTGTTTATTCGGTGAATATAGATCTCCATGGAATTAACAAGGACCAGAGATTTGATCCATCCATTCTAAAGGATTCAGAACAAACGATGATACATGCCATCTTTCATTGCGAGGGTTTGTTTTTGTGTACCACCAAAGACAAAAGAATCGTTGTTTGGAACCCTTGTACTGGTCAAACCAGGTGGATCCGGATCCAACCCAGGAGTGGTCACTTCGTTTACGACTCGTATTCTCTAGGTTACGGAAACAACAAGAACAACTATTCTTGCGATAGCTTCAAAATCTTGAGGTGTAGAAAGCATTACGATAACGTCCCGGTTATGGAGTTTGAGTTGTATGATTTTAACACTGATTCATGGAGACTTCTTGCTGAAGACGCTCAAAGCAGTTTAACAGTTTCCTGGCGCTGGATGATAACTAGTCGTGGCGTGTCTTTGAAGGGAAATACTTACTGGGTTGCTTGTGATCGACACGAACATCACGATAGTAAATTCTTGCTCAGGTTTGATTTCAAAGAAGAGAGATTTGAACGTTTTTCTCTTCCGGATGGTGGCTACGGAAGTACAGTGTTTCTCTCAGTCGTTAGAGAAGAGAAACTTGCTGTGTTATTTGAGAGGCGTAATATTGATTCGTCAAGACATCTGAAGATATGGGTGACCGATAATAAGATCGATGAGGCCAAAAGTATGACCTATATCCAATATTTCCTAGTAATGGATTTCAGTAACACTTTGGGCAAAGGTACGGCGGTGGTGAGTTTCTTGCTGGACGAGGAGAATAAAAAAGTCGTGTGTTGTGGTTTAGACACCAGAAATAGAAACAAGACCATCATGTACATTGTTGGAGGAGACCAGGAAAGTATACATTCGTGTGAACAAATTCTTGGAGAGATTGCACAAGGACCAACAGAGGACTGTTGGCCATTTCTCGAGAGTTATGTTCCAAGTTTGGTTCAAATTCAGCAAGTAGAGGCAGCAGATGCAGAAGGTGATTAAGTAGTCCCTTTGAATTACCCTAGTTTGCTTTTTGAACGAAATTAATTATTCTTTTTTTCTGTTTTTAATCTGTATATACATGTTTATTCTTCTTTTAGTTATGAAATCAGATTTTGGTGATCTTATCTAAATACATTGTTTATGGCTTCTTCTTTGTAATCACTTATGGGTCCTGGTGAACCTTTTTTTCCTTGAAGGTGTATGTATACGAAAACCAAAACGAAAATAAAAGATTAGAAATCTAAAAGATTGGTGAAAATATCATCACCGTGTTAAAAATCACTTTCAAAGATTATTTCAATAATCACCAGTGAAAAATGGTAGTCTATGATGGGATGTTAGTTGAGCAGACAAAGAAGAAGACAGCTGCTGATTTGGTGCTTTCAAGGATCAACTTTTTCGGTCTTGAGTCGAAACTAAGAGCAAAAGGTTGCAGACTACTCGATAATTAAAGTTTTTGAGGGAATGATGATAAATCATTCAGCTGTGCTTTTCCCAAACTGGTCCATATACTATTTTGTGCTTTGGTAATGGTTTGAGTTCAATGATTCTTGGGTATGGTTTCGCCAAACCCCAACAATGCAAGTTCCAGAGATCTTCTCATGGATGATGCATGAGCCCTTAATTGTCTCATTGTTTCTGGCTTTGATTAATGACATTCCTCGCACTAGTTTTATTGGTGTCTATAGGTTCTATATCCTTTGTAAGGAGATTCATGCAATGATGTGAAACTCAACTTTTCACATCATATTGTTTTTTTTTTTGTAGTTTGAAGCATTGACAATTTACTTTCTAACTTCTAAGTAACAATTTTTTTTTTAATCTTTTTGGTCACGTCTAAGTAAACTTAAGAGAGAGACTTTGGATTGAAAAAGGAGACATCTAAACCGTTAGATTAAGTTTTCCATTTAGAAGAGAGTCCTACATTATAATGATTGCTTATGTCAAAAACTTAAAACCCTAATTATTTCTCTTTTCAGAGCTGACGCTTTCTTCCTTGAGGGAGACACAAGGAAAAAATGACGATTTACCGATCTCCCACGAGAATTGGAATGTGAAATACTCTCTAGGGTTCCTCCCACATCTCTAAACAAATTTCGATCTACCTGCAGACGATGGTATGCTTTATTCAAAAACCCTAGATTCATCGAGAAGAATTTAGGTAAAGCAAAAAGGCAGTTTATCTTAAAGAAAGATTTTGGTGTTTATTCAGTGAACCTCAATCTCCATGGAATCAACAACAAGAGATTTGATCCATCCATTGAGTTTACAGGTAAACTCAACAGCCTAAAGATTCAGAACAGACGATGATACATGCTATCTTTCAGTGCGAGGGTTTGTTTTTGTGCACCACCAAAGACAAAAGAATCGTGGTTTGGAACCCTTGTACTGGTCAAACCAGGTGGATCCGGATCCAACCCAGGAATGATGATCACTTAGCTTACGATTCGTATGCTCTAGGGTACGGAAACAACAAGAACAAATATTCTTGCGATAGCTTCAAAATCTTGAGGTGTAGAACGCATAAAAACAACAACCTGGGAATCTGGGTTATGGAGTTTGAGTTGTATTATTTTAACACTGATTCATGGAGACTTCTTGATGAAGACGCTCAAAGAAATTTAACAGTTTCCTGGCGCTGGATGATAACTAGTCATGGCGTGTCTTTGAAGGGAAATACTTACTGGGTTGCTTGGGATAAAAAAGAACCTAACGATATTCAATTCTTGCTCAGGTTTGATTTCAAAAGAGAGAGATTTGAACATTTTTCTCTTCCGTTTAGTGGTTCCGGAACTATGTTTCTCTCGGTGGTTAGAGAAGAGAAACTTGCTGTGCTACTTGATAGGCCCAATTTTGATTCGTCGAGAGAGATGAAGATATGGGTGACCGACACTAAGATCGATGAGGCCGTCACAGATATGGAATATGTCTTAGTAGTGGATTTCAGTAGAGTTTTGAGAAGAGGTATGACCGTGGTGAGCTTCTTGGTCGACGAGGAGAATGAAAGAGTCGTGTGTAGTGGTAGAGACACCAAAAAGGGAAACAAGAACGTAATTTACATTGTTGGAGGAGACGGGAACCATAAACACTCGTGTAAACAAATTCTTGGAGAGATTGCACAAGGACCAGCTGATGACTGTTGGCCGTTTCTTGACAGTTATGTTCCAAGTTCGGTTCAAATTCAGCAAGTAGAGGCAGCAAATGCAAAAGGTGATTGATTTAAATATAATTCCCCTAGTTTGTTTTTCTGAACGAGATTAGTCAGGTTATGAATTATGGTTGTTTCTGTTTTTAATATATAGATACATGTTTAGTCTTGTTTTACTTGTGAAATCAGACTTTGGTGATCTTATCTAAATACGTTGTTTATGGCTTCTTCTTAGTAATCACTTATGAATCCTCGTGAACCGTTTTTCCCCTAAAATGTGTATATGTATACAAAAACCAAAACGAAGAGACGAAAACAAAAGAGTATTGGTGAAAATATTCTCTTTTAGGCAGAACCTAATATTCTTATCATTTTATCCCCATATTTTTGGAAGTGGCAGTTAAGTTCCCGTGTCAATGGCGTTGTAAAGTAGTTGCATTTATGATCCCATCCTTTTTTTTATCTTAATCACACACCCGTAAAAAGTATCCAATCGTTACTCCACTTTCAATGAACACTCTGGCGAAAAGCGGTGGCGCGTGGCTGGTTTCGCCGTCAAGGACGGCGGCTCTGAGGAGGACGAGAGTAGCTGGTTTCGCCACGTCATCGTCATCTTCCTCTTTGCCCAATTGGGAAGGTGGAGTTTCCTTGGTCCAAGGAGCTTCCAGAGGCCTCGGCCTCGAATTTGTGAGTCTCTTTCTTAATCAGATCTCTGTTCTTGATTTTTCCAAAAATAATGGGAATTTACCTGTCACTACAAATTTCTGAAAAAGACGACAAAAACCTCTGAAATTGCTTCGATGTTGATCCTTTTAGTGAATCTTTGTTCACGTTTAATTAGGTGAGACAGTTGCTGGAGAACTGTAAGAAAGGGTATGTTGTTGCTACTTGTCGGAATCCAAAAGAAGCAACAAGTCTCTCTGATTTAAAGAACCGATTCTCTGAAAGACTTTTGATACAAAAGCTTGATGTTACAGATGAAACTACCATTGAGGTTATAATCACTTCCCTCAATCCGTCTCCACCTTTCTTGTGCCTAATTTGTTGTGTAAAATGTGTTTTTCTGAAACTGTGTAACCGGTTTAATTAGGAATCAGCGGAATCTGTAAGAGATAGATATGGTTCTCTCAATCTACTTGTAAACGCAACCGGTATACTCTCAATTACTGGTGTATTGCAGCCAGGTATGTCTAGTGTCTTTCACTTCTTGACCATTTTGCGTCGAGTTTTAACGAAATGTTAGAGACATTAGTTTCTGTGTTTTTTTTCTTCTCTCCTTTTGATCTCAGTACAGAAACAACATTGAACAAGGTTGAGAAGTCATCATTGATGCTTTCTTATGAGGTTAATGCTGTTGGTCCTATTCTAGTGATGAAGGTAAGAGACTCCAAAACAGAGTGAGAGCAGATCTAAGTAATGTATGGACATGAAATCAAATGAATCACAAAGGTTTCTTCTTTGGCTGTGTTGTAGCATATGTGGCCACTCCTTAAGGCTGGTGGAGGTAATGGAACGGAGAGGGAAGTAGCTGTTGTAGCCAATATAAGCGCCAGAGTTGGATCCATTGGAGACAACAGACTTGGTGGTTGGCACTCTTACAGGGCTTCAAAAACCGCACTCAACCAATGTACTGCAGATTGTTACTTGATCTTTCTTGGTATGAGCTGAGGAAACCAAAATCATTAACTTCTGTTCCTTTTGCAGTGACGAAAAATGTTTCGGTTGAGTTGGGTAGGAGGAAGGATCCAGTGGTGTGCATTCTACTTCATCCAGGCACAGTAGACACTGATCTCTCTCGGCCGTTCCAGAGGAACGTTCCCGAAGGGAAGCTGTTCACAAAAGAGTACTCTGTTGAGAAACTATTGCACATCATCAACAATGCCAAGAGACAAGACAACGGCAAGTTCTTTGCTTGGGATGGCCAGGAGATACCTTGGTGATTGCTTCATTTCTTTTGTTTTCTCTTCATCTGAATGGTCACTTCTTTCAAATTGTATTGAATTCTTGTCGAGGTTTTTTACCGTGTGTTCGAGTGTTATCAAATAACCTGGAGTGAGTGTCCAGAAGTAGAAGTTGAGAGCTTTCTGAGTATTCAATAATCAATGTGACGGTCCATCTTTAATCTACACTGTGTTTACCTTAACAAGCTATTTGCGACTTTCCTTAGTCCAATCATTGCTCTATGTGATCCAGCTACGACCTGGACTCTTACGAACTCTGCTCTTGTTCATCAGTTCTTGAAGAGCTGCAGATTCATCCCACTGTCTGACAGAAGTATATGTGTTGCTTAGCAGCACATAAGCAGCTGGGTTCTGAGGATCCAAACTTGTGAGTTTCTCTGCAACTCGTCTAGCCAAGCTCACATTTCCATGGACTCTACATGAACTAAGTATAATCTCCCATAGAACAGAGCTGCTTTTGTATGGCGTAGCTTCTGCAAGAGCCTCTGCATCTTCAAGCCGACCAGCTCTTCCAAGACAATCAACTATACATATGTAATGATCCAGCTCCGGTTCAATCCCATGATCTCTCTGCATCGACCCGAGTATCTCAAGCCCGGTATCCACTAGTCCTGAGTGGCTACAAGCAGTCAAGACAGATACAAATGTTATCCGATCCGGCTTCTCTCCCGATGTAATCATCTCTCTGTAGAGACCAACAGCTTCATCGCCTCGTCCGTTATGAGCATACCCATGTATCATCTCGTTCCACAAAACCGTGTTTTTAAACAACACTGTATCAAAGACTTCCTTCGCTGAATCTATTGCACCGCACTTACAATACATATCGGTTAGAGCAGTTTCAACAAAGAGATCACTTACGTATCCACTCTTCACTACCTGACCATGAAACTGTCTTCCATGGAGTAAACTACATAAACTTGAACAGCTACCTAATACAGTGGCGTATGAAGTTTCATTAGGAAACAACACACTAGTCTGATGCATTCTTTTGAAGAACGATAAAGCTTTTGTGTCCATTGAGTTGCGACTAAAACCTGTGATCATCGAGTTCCAACAAGCGACATCCAAATAATTTATACAATCATCAAATATACATTCAGAGACCTCCATCTTCTCGCATTCAGAGTACACAGCAATAAGACCACTAACTATGTGACTGTTCTTAGAAATCCCGGTCCTTATCGCTACCCCGTGGATCTGTTTCCCTCCTTCCAGAAATCTCAATCTCGCGCACGAACTTAATATCACACTCAAAGTGGTTCTATCAGGTCTCAGGTTCTGAAACTGCATTCGTCTAAAAAGATTTATTGCTTCATCATAGTGTTCATACTTGGAATAACCAGAGAGCATAGCGTTCCACGTGCTAACACTCGGCTGCGGAATGCTACTGAACACTCTCCTACCGGTTTCAACATCTCCTGAACGAAAGCAAGCCCCTAGAACACTAATGCACGTAACTTCATTCGGCTCAAAACCATAATCTCTCATTCTCTTCAGATACTCAACCGATTTGTCACTTCGATACTCCTGGCCAAACCCAGCTATCATTATATTCCAAGAAACAACATTCACTTCAACCATCTCATCAAAAATCATCTCAGCACCATTCATGTCTCTACTCTTTGCATATACTTCAAGCAACGAATTGTTCAGATGAAGATCTCCTACAAACCCAAGTCTTAACGCGAGACTATGGATCTGTTTCCCGAGCACATTCGAACCATCACATTCTTCTCTTGGAGCAGAGATGCTGAGAATATTAGACAAGCAAACAGAATCCACCTTGACACCTTTCTCGCACATCAATCTGAACACATGAACTGCCTCAAAAACTTTACTTTCCCGAGCTAACCCGTTGATCACAGCTGTGAAAGAGACTTCATTAGGCTCAGAGAGCGATTCAAAGACCCTAACACCATGATCCACCATAAGCCCACACTTACCATACATAGACAACAACGCATTCCCAACAAATATGTTCTTCTCAAGACCGGTTTTCACAGCAACCCCGTGACATCTCATCCCAGTAACACCATCCAAAACCTTGCTACACGCACTCAAAACGCTAGCTAACGTGAACCGAGAAGGCAAAAACCCTTGAGAAACCATTCTCTCGTAAACAACCAAAGCTTTCTCCTCTAACCCTTTTCGCACCAATACGCTAATCATGTTGTTCCACGACACCACATCTCTCTCAGGCATTCCATCGAACACATCACTCGCTTCCTCCAAATTCCCAACTTTACAACTAAACGTCAAGAAAGCGTTCCACGAATAAACATCTCTCACAGGCATTTCGTAGAACACCTTCCGTGCATAATCTCCATCACCACACTCACAGTATAAATCCAGTAATCGATTGCAGAGATAAACATCGCTGTTGAATCCCGTCCGTACAACGAACCCATGAATGATTTTCCCGGAAAGTTTACACCTTTTTTCTCTGCAGAAACGCAAGAGATTCGCTAAGTATCGATTGCTTCTACTACGCATTTTTCTTCTCTAGAGCTCTGTTTCTGAGCTCTGCTCTCACGAGTTAGTTTAGTTAGTTAGGTACAAATAAAAAACATTTTATATTTAATTTAGATTCATTATGCACAATAAATAATAAGCAAAAAAATCCAAATGAGAACAATTTATAAAAATATATGTTTGAATCTGATCATTACATAAACAAATCTAAAGTGAAATTTGAATTTTACATCTGCGACTGAATGCAAAACATAAAGATTTGAAACACATTTATGAAAAAAAAAAGGAATAATAATATTTTGGAAAATTGTTGTGATGAAATGAAATCAAGAGGTAGGGATCGAAACGGTGCGCATCATGTTCTTGAATTCGAAAAAGTCAACGCGGCCATCTTGATTCCGGTCAACGGAGACGATCATCTTCTCCACTCTCTCCATCTCTCCTCCTTCGGGCAACCCGAGCTTCTTCAGAACCGCCTGCAATTCCCTGGCGGAGATGAACCCGTCGCCGTTCTCGTCGAACACCTTGAACGCCTCCGCGAGATCCGACTCGTCTTCCGCGGCGGATTCCGGCGAAGAGTCGTCGCAAGCTCCGCCGAAGAAGGAGTCGTCGAGCGTCTTGTGGAGGGAAGAGAAATCGTCGAAATTGAGGCCGGTGTTCCCAGGCTGGATGTACGACTCGACGGTGGTTTTGAGGTCGGTGAGATCTGCGTTGAGGCCGAGACGAGTGAGAGCTTGGCTCAGCTCCTCGACGGTGATGAATCCGTCGCCGTTTTTGTCGAACAAATCGAAGATCCGTTGGAGACGAAGAGCGTTTAGGCTTGGGCTTCGAAGCCTGAATGATGACGATTGTATACCTTTCTTCTTCTCGCCGTCGCTCTCCATTGTCTTCTTTTATTCTTCCTTTCACTTCTTCTTCTTCGTCGTTGTGGAATTATAAATCTGTGATAATAATGGGAATTTGAGTGAAAGGAGTCTAATTATAGAAGAGAAACATTTGGGAATTGAAACATTTATGTGAAGGAGTCCGTTTTTGCCGGCGTTGACTTTGTCTGGCCCGCCATGTACGAAATTCGAACATTAAAACCATAACGAGAACAAGGAATAATTCAAGAAATACAAATAAATTCACATTGGTGCGGAAAAAAAGGTTGGCTTTTGTGATTTGTCAAATAGATGTTGACATCAGAAAATATTTTTAAAAAATGAAATTTTGAATTTACTTGTTTTAGTCCACGAATGCTGCAAATTTACGAATATTTCAGGATTCTCAGAACTATTTGCAGGGGAAATCGTTTCATTTCGTTATCGTTATTCGTTATCATAGTTGTATTGGAGATTTCAGTTTCAAGATGTAATGCATAACGTGTGTGCCTTAATTTCTAGGTAATTACTTCTAGATGCTTATATTAAAACTGAAATTGCTTCAAGTTGATAATAGAGAACAAAAAATCATAACTGTCGTCGTCGGTGTTTCAATTGAAAAGCAGACAAGTCACGTCGTAGCAGTTACCGAATTTAATTGGAACGTTTCCATTTGCCAACTTGAGAAAATGGGTGGTGGTGTGGTTTAAGGTTTCAGAAGCTTCCAAGTTTTAGACCCGTTCACATGATCCGGTTCGGGTCGAGAAGAGAACCCACATAACTCGAAAGCCCATTTAACAATGTATAGTCACTTCTTTCTTCAAAGTTTCTCAGCACTTCGAAATAAATCATGGGAATTCAATTTCATAAAGAAAAAGAAACACAAAATACGTCTTTTAAATCCTTACAAAACCATCAAAGTATCATCAAACTCATGAAAATCAAAACAAAACAGTAAAGCTTAGAATTCTTCAATGACACCCTGAGACCTAAAACACTATCTTAGTGATGCCTTGAGCTAGACTCATACAAAGAAGTAACCATGTCATAAATCTGCGTCAAGCTTGGCTGCTTCAATGGTGGCTTATCAGTACACGTAAGTCCAAGTGTGATCGCTTGCTTGACTTTCTCCACCGTTCTGTCCTCAATCTTCATCTTCTCATCAATCACTCTCCCAAGATTATCCGGATAATGAACTCTTATATACTCAAGATACCTCCTCTCCGAATCTTCTTGTTCCTCATCATGCCTTAGATTTGTAATCATCTCCAAAAGAAACATTCCAAAGTTGAATATATCTGTAAATATAACAAGAAAAACACACTTATATTCTATAACCTTTAAACTTTTTTTCAAATATTTTCAAGAAAGAAAGAGCCTTACTTGTTGATGAATTGTTTCCATCTCCAATCCTGAATTGAGAAATCAACGGTTCTTGATCACCATCAGACAACAAAACACTGCTTGTGCTGAGATCAAATGTAATCTCAGGCCATTCCTCCGAAAGATAGAAAATACCTTCAACAACTCCCATAACCACTCTTAATCTTCTTCTCCACGAAGAAGCCGATGAAGAATTTAGCCAATTCTCAACATTTTCTCCATTAGTCCACTCCGTAACCAAAGCTCTCATGTTTCTGCTATTACACCAACCCAAAACTCTCACCAGATTCTTGTGTCTCAGCTTAAAAACCGCCTCGCATTCCTCAGCGAACGCAGTCCTCTTCTCTTTTGAAACCTTCTCCGTGTAAACCTCGATCTTTGCCTCTGTCCCGTCCTTTAACGTGCCTCTGAAGATATCGACTCCATTGCTCTTGCTCACAAGCTTCTGATCTGAAAACTCGTCGGTGGCTGCCTCGAGAATCGCGGATGTGAACTTGTGGCTTCTCCGACAAGTTCTTGGCAAGTAATCAGGTCTTTTGAGACACAACCATCCCAAGCAAAAACAGAGCAAAATCACCATTATCGGAAACAGAATCAACAAGACCAAAACTTTCATCTTGTAACGCTTGGCATTGGGAAGAACACCGGACTGTATGAAACTCGAGGCGTTAAACCGTTTGAAGAAGTCGGAATCCGAGATATGTTCCTCCGAGAACCGGTTGTAGGAGAGATTCAAACGGGTCAAATTGGGCAAACCGGAGAGGTTTTGAACCGGAACGAAACCAGAGAACTGGTTGAAACTCAGATCAAGAGTGCGAACCTGAGCACAAGACAGAACATTCATCGGAAAGCCAGTGTTGAGAGAGTTGTTGACAATCTCGATCTCGACGACGGTTAAAGGACAGTACTTCCAGAAGAAGTCGAAAGAGAGATAGAGCGCGGCGGTTTTGGGGCGGCTGTGGATTCTGATTACGGGGAAAGATTCGACGCAGTTAGGGTTTTTGGACTCGTTGCAGAGATGGCTTGCGACGATCGTGGAGCGGAATATCTCGATGATGTCCATCGGAGAAGAAGAAGTGTTGTTGCAGTAACGGAGAAGTGGATCACGGAGACAGTTTGCTGTGATGGTGTTGCTGAAGTCAGGAGGTGGAGTGAGGTTAGCGAGATCTTCGACTACGGTTGCTGAGAGTACTGAGAGAGGAAGAAAGTGTAATGAATGTGAAGTGAGGAGGAAGAAGAAGAAGAAGAGAGAAGACGCCATTGGAGAGTGGTTTCTCTGTTCTGAAAACAAAACGTTTTTTTTTTCCTTTTGTGTGTGTGTGTGTGTGTGTGATGGGAGAGAGAAGCAGAGAGGTAGTTTCTGTGTTATTTGAGGTGTTGGCAGTTATTCAGAAACAGAGTGGGAGGATATTTACGCGCCCATTTTCTTTGATCGTGTGCTTAAGTTGAAATATTATTTAAACACAAAAATAGGGGAAAAAAATGGTAGAAAATATAATTTCTTGAGTCTTTAAATTTTTGAAATATCTTATTATATAAAGCTGGATGCGCGCGACGTGGTTGCGACACGTAGGATTTTTATAAAATATAGGATCGCGACATGTGTCACTTTTAAAGATTATGTCCGTTAAGATCGTGACACGTGTTTTAGGGGAAAAAAGAATTTGTTTTTTAAAAAAAAAATACTAGAAATAGGATAATTAAAAAACAAAATTTAATTAAAAAAAACGAAATTTAATCTATTTTATTTTATAAGAAAAATTAATATTTGTCATATCCTAACAGAAAAAGGTTTTCCCATTCATCAAATTAATATTATCCAAACACATATCTTATTATAAAATAAGATTGAAAATAATGTAATAAATCAAATCCTATTACTACATGGAATAGGTACGTAAACTAAAATTCCTATATCTGCAAGGAATATGTTATATGAACACCTATAAATACAAAGTTACAATAGTCTCTTTTTTCTCATTTACAAACTCATTAAAGCAAATTCATTAAATTTCTCTGATTCTCTTTCTCTAATTTAAAAATCATGTCTTTGAATGTTCAAGAAAATAGTGAAGATTATTTGACTCTAGCTCAATTGGATCGAAATCGAAATTATCGCCGTACTATAGTACGTGTTATTCGAAAGTGGAAAGTTAGAAATCCAAAAGAAAATAATATTCTTATGGGAGTTGAGCTTCTACTACTTGATGAAAAAGTTAGTAAGAAAATATATAATTTACAATAAATTGTTACATCCATTAAGAAACGGAAAAAAACATATTCCCAATACAAGAAGGAAAAAAAACAATATATAATAAGTTACACCCTTCATGATTTAATTGTGTTGTTTAAATTTTCTTTCTTATTAAGAAATGAAAAATCATGTCTTTAAAAGTTCTAGATATCAATGAAGAATATTTAATTTTAGATCAGATTATAACCATGTATAATATTTGATCAGATTAAACATGTGTTAATACAAGAAAATTAGAAAAAATTAATAACAAAACGAAAAATTGTAAAACAACTAACTAATAATGAAAAGAAAAATTTATAATGGTCCGAGGCAAAAAAAAATCTTATAAAAGAAAGAATATAAATAGAAAGCTAACAAAATAATTATCAACAGCTAACTAATATTAAAAAGAAATTTTATTTTGGTCCGATATTCTAATTTTAAATAGTTTATTTTCAAACTTTTGTTAGGTCAAAAAATATTAAAAAATTGATTTCATCAACTGAAATCTCTTCGATGGAATAATCAAAGTTTCACGTATTAATTAGTCCATCAGATTTAAACACATGTAAGTATTTCTATATTTGATAAAAATAAGATAACACAAATTAATTCATTTTTCGTATCATGAATTCAAAACAAATGTCAATTATAATAAAAATATAAAAAGATTACTAATCTTATTTTATTTAGTGATTTGTTATCGGGTTTTTATTATTATTCTATTTACTTTTAAAAATGATTATATTATGTTTAATAATTTTCCAGGATTTATTTCAAAAAAATTATAATAAACCCGCGTATACGCGGGGCCTAATCTAGTCTACACTAAAATAGCATTAGAAGGTGAATTCTTTAATAATAAAAAATTAGAAGGTGAATTCAACGGGAGATAATTAGCACTAACTACGGGGGCAAAAAAACAAAAATTCAACTGTATTATAAACTTACTATGATTTCTAGTCAACAAATTCAACTGTATTATGAAATTACTATGATTTTTAGTCAACAAAATGTCAAAATTCAACCGTCACTGATTAATGTGATCAAGAACAAATGAACAAAAGTCTTACTATCTTTAATATAAAACTGAAATTTCCTCAGACGTTACGCTTCAAAGTTACTATGTATGTAGTCAACATTCTCTCATTATGTCATTCCGTTTTCCTAGGACTTTCTTTAAACTAAACCCATATATATATGACCAAACTTATTAAGCTCTCGAATTAATTTTCTCTGCACAATTAAACCCAAATCCTGCATAAACAAATGTCTTGAACTCTGTTTTTCTACTTTTATTATTAAAAAAATGAAAAATGTACTTTCTTTTCTGTTTTTTGTTCTTCTTGTTTCGGTTTTAGATGCGAAAATAACAAAACCAAATACTGAAAACTTCTTCCGATGTCTTCGTTCTCGGACAAGTCCAAAGTATACGATCACCGGAGCCATCTATACCCACGATAACTCCACCTTCATCTCATCTTACGTGTCCTACACGAAGAATAAAAGGCTCTCAAACCCTAATGACACAAACCTAGTAGCCATTGTTGCTGCAAAACATGCATCTCATGTTCAGGCAACCGTGGTCTGCGCAAAGTCCAACGGAGTCCAGATCAGAATCCGTAGCGGTGGTCACGACTTGGAGGGCCTTTCCTACATCTCGTCTATACCTTTCGTCGTTCTCGATATGCACGATCTTAGGTCAATTACCGTTGACGTATCCAACAAGAAAGCTTGGGTTCAAGCTGGGGCGACCTTGGGAGAGCTCTACACCAAAATCGCTGAAGCTAGCAAAACGCTAGCGTTTCCATCCGGCGTTTGTCCTACGCTAGGAGCTGGAGGACACATCAGCGGTGGAGGGTATGGGAATCTGCTAAGAAAATATGGAATCTCGGTGGATCATGTCGTTGATGCTCATTTAGTTGATGTCAACGGCAAGATCTTGAACAGAGCTTCCATGGGAGAAGATCTGTTTTGGGCGATTCGCGGCGGTGGTGGTGCGAGCTTTGGCGTTATCCTCTCGTGGAAGATCAATCTCGTCAAGGTTCCGAAGATCTTGACAGTGTTTAAAGTTAACAAAACACTAGAACAAAGAGGTACCGATGTTCTGTACAACTGGCAGCTTGTCTCTAGCAAATTACCTCCAGAGCTTTTCTTGAGAGCAATGCCTGAGAACACAATCGGAGCGAAATCCGGCGAGAAAACTATCGCGGTTAAGTTCTACGCTCAGTTCTTAGGCTCAGCAAAGAAACTAATGAAGATTATAAACAAGAACTTGCCTGGATTAGGGCTAAAACGTGAAGACTGCTACGAAATGAGCTGGCTTAATACGACGTTGTTTTGGGGGGATTTTCCGATTGGGACACCGGCGAGCGTTCTTCTTGACAGGCCAACGGGTCCGCCGGGAGCATTCTACAAGGGAAAATCGGACTACGTCAAAAAACCGATCCCAAAAGAAGGAATAGAGAAGCTTTGGAAAACAATGTTGAAATTCGAAAATGTGTGGATGCAATGGAACCCTTATGGTGGAGTGATGGACAAGATTCCGTCGAATGCAACCGCATTTCCTCACCGGAAAGGAAACTTGTTCAAGATTCAGTACTTTGCGTTATGGGGCAACGCAAACGCCACAAGCCTTAATCTCGGTTTGATGAAAGAGCTCTACGAGGTGGCGGAGCCGTACGTGTCGAGCAACCCGAGAGAGGCGTTTTTGAATTACAGAGACGTCGATGTTGGAAGCAATCCGAGTGGAGAGACGAGTGTTGAAGAAGCTAAGATCTATGGAACCAAGTATTTCTTAGGGAATTTGAAGAGATTGATGAGTGTTAAGGCTAAGTATGATCCTGAGAATTTCTTCAGGTACGAGCAGAGTATACCTCCTGTTCTTGCAATGTAACTCTTGTAGGGTTTTTTTTCCGTTTACTATTTTATTTTATAATTAAAGAAAGATGCAAATTTTCATAAAATATACTAAGTATAACAAACATAAAGGGTGAGAAAATGATAGGGATCGGACTTCGGAACCATACTGTGCACTAAATCATATACTGTAACTGAAAAAACATAGTTTCTTGCACAGAACTCAGTTTTTGTAATGTGGATTAGAGTTAAGAGAATGGATAATTCAAGTACTTTCTTGTTATAATTTTAAATTATTGTCCGGCATCTTGTACGGGTACAATATTTTTAAAATACATTAATTAATTAAAGATTTTAATAATATAAGTAGTATAACTTTTTATTGTACTAGGTTTTTAACCCGCGCACGCGCGGGTCTGTTCTAATGATTTTTTAAATTGTTATATTTAAATTTATTTTCTTCCAAAGCTTCACAATTTTTTATTTTTTGCTGTTTTTTTATAAACTTATCTTTGTAATATACTTTTTAATTATTTTTTTACTTTACCAATTTAATTATTTTATAATTAATCATAATAAGTAAGGTACTTTTTAAAAACGTATTTTCTGTAAAAAACATACAATAGCCCTATCCTCACATTTCTTAATATTTATATGTTTTGTCAATTGCTTCATAAAATTCGACATAAGAATAGATCCCAAACTTTTCTTTTTCAATATTATGACAACATGATCAGCCTGAACCAACATTGTTTTTAAGTGAACCGTATTAGAAACTTGTGAAAAAAAAAACCTTATAATTTGGCTTGTCGTCTTTGTTCTAAATTGGTAGCTTCTTTTTCTTTTTATTTATTCTTATTCGTTTTTTTGGTCATCTTCACTCATCTTCTTTGCTCTTCTTCGTCTTCGCTCGTCTTGCTTCCTCTTTTGGTTTCTTCTCCTCCTTTCTTCTTTGATTAATTCTTAATTTTCAATTTCATCTTCGTGGTTTCTTATTCGGTGTTTCCGTCTTCAACTTTGTTATTCTTTGGGTCTTTTTTTTTCTTTCTACTTTGGTATCTTCGTCTTCGATAATTTTTAATTTTATCTTCTTAATGTTCTTCTTTCATATCCTCTTCATATGTCATTTTTCAGTCTGAGTATATGATTCAGCCATTTTCTTCAACAAACTTGTGGCAAATGAGAACTCTTCACTGTAAATCCTTCAAGGTGCAACAAAGATGATTACTTTGTCTCCAATAGTTTTATTGTCTACTCCTTTCCACCCTTGGATTTTTTGGCATCCGTAGAAGGCTGGTACTCTCTTCCTATTTGAATATTGTGAGTTACAGTAAAATAAAATCTTCCTTAAGGCTGTGAAAGATGTCCATGAATGAATGCCCGAAGTTCAGCTAAGAAAGCAGCCTCTTTTTATCCTCTGTTTGGCATGCATTAGAATATGGAACACAAAATATTGTTTTTGTAATGCAACTTGGAATATTTTCTTAGAAAAATGTGGTATGATATGGATTATCAAATCTCCCTTGAACTCTCATCTGCTCCGTAGAAGTGCAAGTATACTAATTACTTCGTTTTTTCTTCCTCTTCACTTATATTCACTCATCCACACTCATCATCTACTTTGATCTTCTTCGTATTTGCTCGTCTTGCTTCTTCTTTAGACAAATGTGGTATGAGATGGATTATCAAATCTTCTCCGTAGAAGTGTAAGTATACTAATTACTTCGTTTTTTCTTCATCTTCACTTATATTCACTCATCTACACTCATCATCTACTTTGATCTTCTTCGTATTTGCTCGTCTTGCTTCTTCTTTTTCGTTCTTGTTTGGTTTATTCTCCTCTGTTCTTATTTGATTCCTTATATATCAATTTCATCTACGTGGTTTCAGATTCGGTGTTTCCATCTTCTACTTTATTCTTCTTTGGTTTTTTTTTTTTGTCTTTCTATTTTGGTATCTTCGTCTTCGATGTTCTTCATTTTTATCTTCTTATTGTTCTTATTCCATATCTTCTTCATATGGTATTTTATAATATGAATTTGTGATTCAGTCTTTTTTTCAACGAAGTTGCGGCAAGCGAACACCTTTCATTGAAACTTCTTCAAGGTGCAAAAAAGATGACTACTCTGTCTCCAATAGTTTTATTATCTACTCCTCTCTACCTTTGGATTTTTTTGCATTTGTAGAAGGCCCATAAACTTTTCCTATTTGAATATTGTGATTTACATAAAGATAAAATCCTCTTTAAAGTTGTGAATAATGCCCAATTGCCCATGAATGAGTGATGCCCGAAGTTCAGCTAAGAAAGCAGACTCTCTTTACCCTCTCTATTTGGCATGCATTATAATCTGAAATGGAAAATCTTGTTGTGATAATGCAACTTGGAATGTTTCCTTGGACAAATGTAGTATGAGATGGATTATCAAATCTCCCAAGAACTCTCCTTTGCAATGCAAGTCTAGTCTTTACTTGTTTGACCAATATTGTTGAAATTCTTGTGATAAATAAAGTGTAATTTAGTGGGCTATATGCATATTTTTCTTTTCCCAATGTAAGTTGGATCTCGCAAAACTTGATCTCTCTTATCATCTCAAAGGAACTACACATGAATTTAAATGTCTTCTTCATGACATTAGCCGTCTTTATTATTATTATTTTTTATCTTTTTTTATTATTTCATATCTAGATTATGTAATGTTAATATCCACTCACTTGCAAAGTTGGCTATATTTACTTTGAACAAATCTTTCAGTTATTACTTATTAGGGTGTAACTTTCTCTTTTTGTTTTTTTTTTTTTAAGTTAGCTAAAAAAGAAAACTCACCATATAATTTTTCATAATTAATATAGTAGTTCCCTTAAAATATTTTTGTATAAATCTTTCAAATATAGTTACTATTTTAACAAAAATTGAAGCACTTTATTTAATTATTTTGGAATTTTGAAGTTTAATAATTTAAAATCGGTTATATATTAGAGTTACTAAAAAATTAATATTACAAATTTACAAAATCGTTTATATATTAGTTTCTTTTTATTGGTTTAGAAAATATAATTTCTTTATTTAATAAATTATTTAATACGAAAATAAATAATTCCCTTAAATTCGGAAATTATCTGAAAATATAAAAAGGAAATCAATTAATTTTACAAAGACTGTAATTAAATTTATATGATGATGTGGAATGAAACTATTGATTGTTTAAAATTGGAAAAATTACTTAATTTTGGAGATGTTAATGTGGACCAATTAAATCGCGTCTTTAAATCTTATGTGGACACTTTTAGAGGCTTATAGCCTCAACTTTTATATTCTCTTAAAATATTTTTGTATAAATCTTTCAAATATATTACTAAATCGAATTTAAGTTTTAACAAAAATCGAAGCACTTTGTTTAATTATTTTGGAACTGTGAGGTTTCTTAATTTAAAATCAGTTATATATTAGAGTTATTAAAAAAATAATATTACAAATTTAAAAATTGTTTATATATTAGTTTCTTTTCATTGGTATTTGAAAATATAATTTCCTTATTTAATAAATTAGTTAATACGAAAATAAATAATGCCCTTAAATTAGGAAATTTTCTGAAAATATAAAAAGGAAATCAATTAATTTTACAAATACTATAATTAAATTTATATGATGATGTGGAATGAAACTATTGGTTGTATAAAATTGAAAATTACTTAATTTTGGAGATGCTTATGTGGACCAATAAAATCGCGTCTTTTAATCCTATGTGGACGCTCTCAGAGGCTTATAGCCTCAACTTTTATATAGTATAGATTCATCTTTTTTGTTTTCGCAAATATCTTATTTTTATAATTTTAATATGTCTTATTTTTATCTTCTCTTTCTTGCTTTTCTACGTAATTTTCTTCAATTGTTTTGAAATTTTCTTCACATTTCATTTTTTTTTCTTTGCTTTCTTTTTCCTCATGTTCGAGTTTTCTTTTTCTTCTCCAAATTTTTCATCTTTTTTGTCATTATCTCATTTTCTTTTACTTGTGTTTTTATTCTCTCTTGTGTATGTCTTGCATTTCACCTATCAATTCATTAGTTTAGATTTTCAATATTTGTGAAATAGAATCTATCTTTATATAATCGAGATCTTTTAAAAATATTTTATTAGTTTTGTTATCTTTCGATTCTGGGTTTTCTTTTATTTTTTTAGTTTTTTTTTCTATTTGTGAATGTAATTTTAAAAGTAAATATAAATTTATAATAAATAATTTTTTATTATGAAAATTCTTCCATAATAATTCAAGTTTTTAAAAATGACCAAAAACTAAACCCTATACCCATCAATATAAACCCTACACCCTAAACCTATGTAACACCACCTCCTGAACAACTCAAACCCGAGAGTGTAACACCACTCCCATATAATAAATTTCATGAAACAAAATAACTCCACCACTCCCCCCTCTAAACAACCCAAACTCACAATGTAACACCACCTGTCCCACTAAACAACCCTACATCCTAACCCCTCTGGTCCCCTCCCCCAATCCGTACACCTGAACTCACATTTACAAATTGGTTTTAGATTTACTTTTATTTTTATTTTATTTTATTTTTAACATAACATTTTTTTTAATCGGTAATTTAGTGTATTCAAATTTTTTAAAGTGCATCAAAAACTAAACCTTATCCCCATCAATATAAACTGTGTACATCGTAAACTCTAACCCTATTTTATCTTTTTTTGTTTAATTTATCTTTTACTTCTTCATATTTTTTTCTTCATTTTCTAATATTTTTTTTCTTATTCTTATCAAACTTTCTATTCTCTTTTCATTTTCTCTTCATCATCTTATTATTTCCAGATTTTTATCAGTTTTTTCCTTTTATTTACAATTTGTTTTTCAATTGTCTTTGTGTACTAAGTTTTCATTTTGTTTATCTTTTGATTTTTTCAGCTTCTTTATTGTTTACATATTTTTCAATTATTATATATTTTTTTTGTTTCTTTTGTTTTTTCAGTCTTTGTCTTCTAACTTTTATCTTTTCCTTATTTTATTCAAGGAGTTCTATCTCAGTTTGGGAAGATCCTTAGATCTCAGCTTCTCGCGTGAGGCCAGCGACAGGACACGAGGCTCATTTTTACCCTTACCTTCGGGTGAGTGAACTAATGACACCCGGTACATCAACGAGGAATTTACCACTATTAAATCAACTTTTCGATAGCGAGGATGTCTCTATCATTTTGGGGATTCCGACATCACGAACCAGTAGGCCGGACTCGATGGTATGGTTTTTTACCAAGTCGGGCCGATAATAAGTTAACAATAGTGATCGAAACGGACTGTTCCGATGTGATAAAGATGGTGTCTAAATCCAAGGAGTGACCAGCTTTTGCAACAATACTAGAGAAGCTTTGCAGATGTAAAACGGAGTTCATCTCCTTTTCCATAGTGCATATTTCAAGAAAGAAGAACACAAAGGCGGACAAGTTAGCACGGAATGCTAGAGCTGTACCTACCGATGTGTATTATGTAAACTCTATTTCTCCGACTTGGATCCCTGAGTTAGTCAAAAAACAGAGGTTGTCGACAAAAAAAAAAAAAAAAATGATGAAATATGGACTCGAATAAATTATCTCACGTCACGTCTAGAAACAAAAAATTGTAAATTGTGTTGATTTTGCTTGTTACTATCTATTTATATCAGGTTTTTTTCCAATTTTTTTATTTTTTCCAAAATTGTGGCACATAATATGGTATTTAGGATTATTATCGTAAAATATTTTAATTAGAAATATAAATCGTGAAATTAAAAAAAAAAGGGAAATTATGAAGATTTAAAATTAGAATTTCCATTAAGGTTATGTGAGTAATCAACTAGTTCAGGTTCAATATGGTGATTCTAAACGAAATTTTTACTTCGCAGATAATATATTAGATGTTTGTTGAATAAAAAATAACTCTGTAGACTAGTAATTAATACAAATATGTAGTCAACTGATGTTACGTTACGTTTTGGTAATTCCATTGATAAACATCTATGTTTACGTATGTATTCAAATTTCCCTCATTACTTTAGCTTCCATATTTGGTAGGGCTTATTCAAACTAAAAAAACATGTATCACCAAAGATATTCAACTAGTTTCCATATTTCGTATGGGAATAAATCTACAAAACAAAATGGCTTGGACTTCCATTTCTTTTGAACTCTACCAAGTAAAAGCAAACAAATAAACAAATGAAAGTAGTTATTGTCTCAATTCTTGTTCTTCTTGTTTTGGTTTCATATGCAAAAGCAACGACACAAAATGTTGAAACCTTCCTTCCATGCCTTCGCTTTCGGACCAATCCAGAGCATCCGATCTATACTCCCGATAACCCCACCTTTGTGTCGACTTACCTGTCCTACACGAAAAACAAAAGGTGTTCAAACCCTAACAACACAAATCTACTAGCCATTGTTGCTGCAACACATGAATCACATGTTCAGGCAACCCTGGTCTGCGCAAAGATTAATGGAATCCAGATCCGAATCAGAAGCGGCGGTCACGACTACGAAGGTCTTTCTTACATCTCATCTGTGCCGTTTGTTATTCTCGATATGAATAATCTCCGGTCTATTACCGTTGACGTGCCCAACAAGAAAGCTTGGGTTGAAGCTGGTGCGACCTTGGGAGAGCTCTACACAAAAATCTCCGAAGCGAGCAAAACGCTAGCGTTTCCGGGTGGCACATGCCCTACATTGGGAGCCGGAGGACACATTGCCGGCGGAGGATACGGAAATCTGATTCGAAAGTACGGAATCTCGGTCGATCATGTTGTTGATGCTAAGTTAGTTGATGTCAATGGCAATATCTTGGATCGATCCTCCATGGGAGAAGATCTGTTTTGGGCGATTCGTGGCGGTGGCGGTGCCAGCTTTGGTGTTATCCTTTCTTGGAAAATCAATCTCGTCGAGGTCCCGGAGATCTTGACAGTGTTTAAAGTTAACAAAACACTAGAGCAAGGAGCCACTGATGTTCTGTACAACTGGCAGCTTGTCTCTAGCAAATTGCCTCCAGAGCTTTTCTTGAGAGCAATGCCTCAAATCACGAAAGGAGCTAAATCTGGCGAGAAAACTATCGCGGTTAAGTTCTACGCTCAGTTCTTAGGCTCAGCAGAAACACTAATGGAGATTATAAACAAGAAATTGCCTGGTTTAGGGCTAAAACATGAAGATTGCCACGAGATGAGCTGGATCAATACGACGTTGTTTTGGGGGAATTTTCCGATTGGAACACCGGCGAGCGTTCTTCTTGACAGGCCAACGGGTCCGCCAGGAGCATTCTCCAAGGGAAAATCCGACTACGTAAAAAAAACGATCCCAAAAGAAGGGATGGAGAAGCTTTGGAAAACAATGTTGAAATTCAACAATTTGTGGATGCAATGGAACCCTTATGGTGGAGTGATGGACGAGATCCCTTCGGATGCAACCGCATTTCCTCACAGGAAAGGAAACTTGTTCAAGATTCAGTATTTTGCGTTATGGACCGACGCAAACGCCACCAGCCTTAACCTCGGTTTGATGAAAGAGCTTTACGAGGTGGCGGAGCCGTACGTGTCAAGCAACCCGAGAGAGGCGTTTTTGAATTACAGAGACAACGATGTTGGAAGCAATCCGAGTGGAGAGACGAGTGTTGAAGAAGCTAAGATCTATGGAACCAAGTATTTCTTAGGGAATCTGGAGAGATTGATGGATGTTAAGGCTAAGTATGATCCTGAGAATTTCTTCAGGTACGAGCAGAGTATACCTCCTGTTCTTGCAATGTAACAAATTTATCCTGTTGTTCAAGAAAACATTTGGAGTATTTTATTGTAAGTTTTTGAGATAAAAAGCATAATATATATTATAATATATCGCTTCAGAAAATTTTGTGTGGAAAAATACCATTTTATTAAAGATACTCAGTGTGACACATTGAAAAACCAGAACAAAATACACAAGGAGCTAACACATAGGTTTGTTTATCGAAACTGGGAGAACAAAGTTTAAAATATACTTGAAATCAAACTAATTTTGAATTGCATTTAATACAATGGAAGGATATATGTTTTCTTTCGTTTTTTCTGTTAAAAAAGAAGGAATAATTAGTGTTTGTCTATATAAAAGATGAAAGTGCATACCAAATGGACAATTAGTTGGGTCTATTGTTACTTATACCACACAAAATTTAAAATTTTCATTTTATTATGGTTTATAAATTCTTCTATATATGATTTTGCCAACCTTTAAGTTATTAATTAACTCTAAGTACAAATTATTTTTCTTTTAATTAGTGTACTAACTACTAAATGCATAAGATATATGTTATTTTTAGATTTTGAACGTCTAAATATGTATTAAATGCATTATATGATATGTTATTTTTAGATTTAATTTGAACGTTTTAATATGTACCAAATGCATTATATGATATGTTATTTTTAGATTGTGAACGTTTAAATATGTACAAAATTCATTATATTATTCAATTTATTTTTTTAATAAATAGGAAAATGCTCCAAAAGAAAGAGGGTGAAATCCTTCTTTTTTCTATTTCCGATTAATATAAATTATTTACTTCCCTCAGTAATACAAAATCCAAATCCCGTGGCTTTATTCAAGTTATTTCATTCCCTCAAAAATCCAAAATCCATATCACGAATTAATTTTCTTTGCAGAGTTTTATTTTATAAATCGAGATTGAATAAGTATAGTAAAACAAATTACTTGGAGTCTCTTTTTCTGGAGTTCTTCAAACCAAAAGAAAAGTAAAAATGAAAGAAGTAGCCTTTGTTTTATTTCTTGCTCTTCTTGTTTTGGTTTCAGATGCAAAAGTAACGAAACCAAATACAAAAAACTTCCTCCGATGCCTTCGCTCTCGGACCAGTCCGGAGAATCCGATCACAGATGCTCTCTTTACTCCTGGTAATTCCACTTTCGTCTCATCTTACGTGTCCTACACGAGAAACAAAAGGTTCTCAAACCCTAAAGACACAAAGCTAATAGCCATTGTTGCTGCAAAACATGAATCTCATGTTCAGGCAACCGTGGTCTGTGCAAAGTCTAACAGAATCCAGATCCGTATCCGAAGCGGCGGTCACGACTACGAGGGTCTTTCGTACATCTCATCTGTACCATTTGTCATTCTCGATATGCATAATCTCCGGTCTATCACCGTTGACGTGTCAAACAAGAAAGCTTGGGTTGAAGCTGGTGCGATCTTGGGAGAGCTCTACACCAAAATCGCGGAAGCGAGCAAAACGCTAGCGTTTCCATCTGGCGTTTGTCCTACAGTAGGAGCCGGAGGACACATCAGCGGCGGAGGTTACGGAAATCTGATTCGAAAGTACGGACTCACAGTGGATCATGTGGTTGATGCTAAATTGGTTGATGTCAACAGCAAGATCTTGAACAGAGCTTCCATGGGAGAAGATCTGTTTTGGGCGATTCGTGGCGGTGGTGGTGCCAGCTTCGGCGTTATCCTCTCGTGGAAACTCAATCTCGTTGAGGTCCCAAAGACTTTAACAGTGTTTAACGTAAACAGAACACTAGAACAAGGAGGCACTGATGTGTTCTACAAGTATCAGCTTGTCGCTAGCAAATTGCCTAAAGAGCTTTTCTTGAGGTCAATGCCTACACTCGCAAATGGAAGAAAATCTGGCAAGAAAACCATTGCGGTTAAGTTCTACGCTCAGTTCTTGGGCTCAGCGAAGAAACTAATGGAGATTATAAACAAGAACTTACCAGAATTAGGGCTGAAACGTGAAGATTGCTACGAAATGAGCTGGATTAACACGACGACTTTTTGGGATGATTATCCGGTTGGTACACCGACGAGCGTTCTTCTGGACAGACCATCAGGTCCGCCAAGAGCATCCTTTAAAAGCAAATCGGATTACGTCAAGAAACCGATCCCAAAGGAAGGAATAAAGAAGTTTTGGAAAACAATGTTGAAATTCAACAATCTTGTGTATATTGAACTCAACCCTTACGGTGGAGTGATGGACAAGATTCCGGCGAATGCCACTGCGTTTCCTCACCGGAAAGGAAACTTGTTCAAGATTCAGTACTATGCGTTATGGAACAACGAAAAGGCCACAAAAGTCAATCTCGGTTTGATGAAAGAACTTTACGACGTGGCGAAACCGTACGTGTCAAGCAACCCAAGAGAGGCGTTTTTGAACTACAGAGACGTCGATGTTGGAAGCAATCCGAGCGGAGAGACGAATGTCGCAAAAGCTGAGATTTACGGATCAAAGTATTTTTTGGGGAATTGGAAGAGGTTGATGGATGTTAAAGCTAAGTATGATCCTGAGAATTTTTTTAGGTTTGAGCAGAGTATTCCTCCACTTCGTGCAATGTAACTCTTATAGGGTTCTTTTTCCCGTTTACTATTATTATTTTATAACAAAATAGCATATTTTCGTAAAATATATAAGGTACAACAATGATTGAAGAACATTAGTGTGAGAGAATGATATGTTAGAAATATAGAACGAATTCGTTTTGAATCCTATTAGTATAAATATTTTAAGGTTTTTTTAATATGAAAGAATAAGACTTTTTGTAGGTTTGAAACGAGAATGTATAGTTCAACTTTTCAATCTTAAGTCTATAACAAGAATACGATTTGAAGAACTATGTCGGATTCGAGTAGCAAAGAGTCCTGAATGAATTTTCAGAAAGCAATTGTAATTTTTGTGAAATTTTCAAAAAGTACTATGTTATTATAATTGAATGTTTGTTGAATAAAAATTGACCAGGGGTAATTCAAATAATCAGATTTCCCTCATTAGTTTAGCTTCCATATTTGGTAGGGCTTAGTCAAACTAAAAAAAACTTGTATCACCAAAGATATTCAACTAGTTTCCATATTTCAAAGGGTTTATCCAACGAATCAAAATCCCAATAAATCTATAAAAAAAATGGCTTGGACTTCCATTTCTTTTGAACTCTACCAAGTAAAACCAAACAAACAAACAAATGAAAGAAGTTTTTGTTTCAATTCTTGTTCTTCTTGTTTTGGTTTCAGATGCCAAAGCAACGAACTCAAACGCTGAAACCTTCCTTCCATGCCTTCGCTTTCGGACCGGTCCAGAGCATCCGATCTATACTCCCGATAACTCCACCTTTGTGTCGACTTACCTGTCCTACACGAAAAACAAAAGGTGTTCAAACCCTAACAACAATAATCTAATAGCCATTATTGCTGCAAAACATGAATCACATGTTCAGGCAACCCTGGTCTGCGCAAAGATTAATGGAATCCAGATCCGAATCAGAAGCGGCGGTCACGACTACGAAGGTCTTTCTTACATCTCATCTGTGCCGTTTGTTATTCTCGATATGAATAATCTCCGGTCTATTACCGTTGACGTGTCCAACAAGAAAGCTTGGGTTGAAGCTGGTGCGACCTTGGGAGAGCTCTACACCAAAATCTCTGAAGCCAGCAAAACGCTAGCGTTTCCGGCTGGCACTTGCCCTACGGTAGGAGCTGGAGGACACATTGCCGGCGGAGGATTCGGAAATCTGATTCGAAAGTACGGACTGACGGTGGATCATGTTGTTGATGCTAAGTTAGTTGATGTCGATGGCAATATCTTGGACCGATCCTCCATGGGAGAAGATCTGTTTTGGGCGATTCGCGGCAGTGGTGGAGCGAGCTTTGGGGTTATCCTCTCGTGGAAACTCAACCTCGTTGAGGTCCCAGAGACCTTAACAGTGTTTAAAGTCAACAAAAGTTTGGAGCAAGGAGTCACTGATGTTCTCTACAAATGGCAACATGTCTCTAGCAAATTGCCTCGAGAGCTTTTCTTGAGCGCAAGTCCTGGAATCACGAAAGGAGCTAAATCCAGCGAGAAAACCATTGCGGTCACGTTCTCAGCTATGTTCTTAGGCTCGGCAAAGAATCTGATAGCGATTCTTGACGAGAATTTGCCTGAGTTAGGGATAAAACGTGAAGATTGCAACGAAATGAGCTGGATTGATACGGTGACGTTTTGGGCGGGTTTTTCGGTCGGGACACCGACGAGTGTTCTTCTTGAAAGGCCATTGGTTCCGCCAGGAACATTCTTCAAGAGCAAATCGGATTACGTCAAGAAACCGATCCCAAAAGAAGGAATGGACAAGATTTTCAAAACAATGTTGCAATTCAACGATGTCTGGATGGATTGGAGTCCTTACGGCGGAGTGATGGAGGAGATCCCGGCGAACGCCACGGCATTTCCTCACCGGAAAGGAAACTTGTACAAGGTTCAGTACTTTGCGACATGGACCGACGCAGATGCCACAGACGCTAATCTTGGTTTGATGAAAGAACTTTACGAGGTGGCGGAGCCGTACGTGTCAAGCAACCCGAGAGAGGCGTTTTTGAATTACAGAGACATGGATGTTGGAAGAAATCCGAGTGGAGAGACGAGTGTTGAAGAAGCTAAGATTTATGGAACGAAGTATTTCTTGGGGAATTTTGAAAAATTGATGGATGTTAAAGCCAAGTATGATCCTTATAATTTCTTCAGGTACGAGCAGAGTATTCCTCCTCTTCGTATAATGTAACTCTTTTAACAGGGTTTCTCGGCTTAATAAGTTATGAGACCATATTAACTAAGAATATTCAATGAAAAAGTTATGCGATTCATGTAAGAATATTTGTATTCTTATATATGTGACCTATGTGTTTTTCAGTTTAATATAAAGATCAAGTTCTTATAGTTAATGATTCTAATATAAAAGATGATTCCATGATGGATTGGTTTCAATGAAAGACTTTAGAATCTGGGTGTATTGATAACTCTCCTCTTACCCTATAATGTTATAAACATCTTTCTCTAATGGTCATATGTATTATATATATGATTGACTATAGATATCAATACATGTGTGAAAGGATGTGTTGAATGGTCGTGAGGTTACGTACGTAACCGTTTGGTGTGCATGTGTTTCTATTATGTATATAAGAGATCTCAGAATTAAGAGATACAAAACAACAACAACAATCACAGACACACACCATACAACACTCGTATAAGAAAAGTCAAAGAGAGATTAAGGTTTGGATCCCTTGTCCATCAAAAGGGATCAGAAGGAGAAAGGGTCAAAGGGAGGAGAAGATCAATTGAAGTATTGATCTCACAACAAGACAGAAGAAAGCATGGATCAAGGTTAGTGTTTCTTTCTTCTTCTCTAAGAAACTGTTAGGATTGGATTATATCAAATCTAGATTATCTTGGGATAGATTTCATATGTGATAGAAATCATTAAAGTGGTTTACAATTGGTATCAGAGCCATCTAGATTTGTTTAATCCACCGTTTAGTGATTTTTCTTAATCGTGAATTGTTAAAGTATGAACGGAACTCATAAACGTAGTCTCGTAATAGAATTCTCTGAGAATTAGAAATTAAAGTTACGTTTGTGGAATAAACTGGAGTAATATATATTATTATGCATCGCATGACATTTGAACAAGTACGTGAATTGTTTTCTCTTGTTCTGGAATTTTGTCGGTTAATATGCATGCATGAACCGGTGCTTCTCTTTACATATTCTGGATTTTTTTTTTTAAATGACATGTATGCGCTCATGTAAGATTGAGTGTTCGTCTTTATAAATTCTGGAATTTGTTATTTTCTGGTGACGGTTGATTCTGGAATGAAAGAGAAGTACATAATATAACCATATGGAATCCACGAACTAAGGCAATATCATATATAAATTAAGGTTTTAAGCGTATATGAGTGAATTGGTTTAACCGTTGGTCTGGTTAATAGATTTGCTATCTGGTATGTTTTTAAGGACACGCTTAAAATTTGTATGATATTATATTGGTTTAGAATAGTATATAAGAATTTAGTTCTATAATTGCTTCCGCTGTGCATTTAAAGGGAACTAATGTGTTATGCAGTATTAACATTGTATGGCTAAGTTACACCATTAAAGATTTAATATTTATATTGTTTATAACATGTTAGTCATCAAAGTGGCCTTGTTATTTACATATAGATGTTAAATATAATTAAATGTACTAATTGATCATGATTAAAGAGATGCTATAAATGACATAAAAGTTTTGATTGATCAATTGTTTTTACTATCTATACTCTAGGAGATTACCCAAAGGTAGATCATTGATTATAGTTAGTAATATGAATAGGATTAATCTTTTCTTACTATAGTCAATAGTATATATACCCAAAGGTGGCATTCTTATTTGATTTGTGTATGATTTGATTAATTAAAATGGTATAAATCTAGCATCGCTGAAAGTGTGTATGTGTTTAAGTATTGCCCAAAGGTTGCTTAGATTCATACTATTAAGTTTCCATTATGATTATGAATCTGTATTAAAGTTTCAAAGCACTAATGGTTAAGCATGTATTAATGCTTGCAGCTTCATCAATTTGTTTGCATCTGCTAACTCTGTCGTGAAGTTTAATGGGCTCAATTATGGGGAATGGTCTGAACAGATCGGTTTACACTGGGTGTTATGGCATTGGACTCTGCCATACTAACAGATGATGAGCCTGCAGCCATTATAGAAGAAAGCTCTGAAGCTGAAAAATCTCGGTTTGAGAGATGGGAGCGATCTAACAGGCTGAGCTTGAACCTCATGAGGATGACGATGGCAGAAAGTATAAAGCCATCTATGCCTAAGACAGAGAAAGCAAGGGAATTCTTACAGAAAATTAAGGAGTGTTCACAATCGGATTTGGCTGACAAGTCTATTGTAGGAAGCTTAATGAATGAGCTAACTACAAGAAAGTTTGACTGGTCTCAGCCAATCCATGATCATGTGACACACATGTCTAACTTGGCAGCAAAGTTATCGACCCTAGGAATGGAAGTGAATGAGCATTTCTTGGTCCAATTCATCATGAACTCTCTGCCTTTTGAGTTTAGCCAGTTCCAGGTGAACTACAACACCATTAAAGACAAATGGAACTTTAAGGAGTTAAAGGCTATGCTGGTTCAAGAGGAAGGGAGATTAAAGAAGATGAGAGACCATGTTGCTAATTTCGTGGGTCATGGAAGTGCCAGCAGCAGCAAAGGAAAACTGAGTAAAATGGGTAAAAAGAAGGATAAGACTTTCATGAAGGGACCTGAGAGTCAAATCCAGAAGGAGAGGAAGTGTTTCTTCTGCAAGCAAGTGGGACACTTCAAGAAAGATTGCCCTAAAAGAAAGGCATGGTTCGATAAGAAAGGTAAACATCACAGTTTCGTTTGCTCTGAATTGAACCTTATAGAAGTGCCTAATAATACTTGGTGGCTAGATTCTGGTGCAACTACTCATGTGTCTCATATTAAACAGGGATTCAGTTCGATCCAGCCTATAAGAGGACCTGAACAGTACTTGTTCATGGGAAACAGGATGAAAGCGCGTATAGAAGGCATTGGGACATATAAATTGATCATGGACACTAGTTGTCATGTGAATCTTGAAGGGTGTCTTTATGTACCTGAGTGTGTTAGAAATCTTGTTTCTGTAAGTAGGTTGGACAATTTAGGTTTTGATTTTAAGATAGGACATGGTGTATTCTCATTGTACCGAAATGATTACTTTTATGGTAGTGGTACTTTATTTGATTCACTTTATCGGTTCAATCTTGATGCAAAGTTCTCTGAATCCTTATTTAATATTGAAAGTCGTGGCATTAAACGTAGTGCATCAGATGAAAGTTCTGCTTTCTTGTGGCATCAAAGGTTATGTCACATTTCCAAAGAAAGGATGATGAGGTTGGTAAAGAATGAAATTCTACCTCAGTTGGATTTTAGTGATCTAAATGTGTGTATAGACTGCATTAAAGGAAAGCAGACTAAACATGTTGTAAAGAAACCAGCCACAAGAAGCACTCAGCTGCTTGAGTTAATTCATACCGATATATGCGGCCCTTTCGATGCTCCCTCTTGGAGTGGCGAAAAATACTTTATCACCTTTATTGATGATTACTCACGTTATGGATATACATATCTCCTGCATGAAAAATCTCAGTCTGTGAATGTCTTAAAAGTGTTCATTGATGAGGTGGAAAGGCAGTTGGAGAGAAAAATAAAAGTGGTGAGATCTGATAGAGGTGGTGAGTTTTATGGAAAATTCAATGAAAGTGGACAATGTCCTGGTCCATTTGCAAAGTTACTTGAAAGTAAAGGCATTTGTGCACAGTATACAATGCCTGGTACTCCTCAGCAGAATGGTGTAGCTGAGAGGCGGAATCGTACTCTAATAGAAATGGTTAGGAGCATGTTAAGTAATAGTTCTTTACCCCTTTCATTGTGGATATATGCATTAAGGACTGCAACATATGTGTTGAACCGGGTTCCTAGTAAGGCAGTTCCTAAGACCCCTTATGAACTGTGGACAGGAAGGAAACCTAGTTTAAGGCACTTACGTGTTTGGGGTTGCCCAGCAGAAGTAAGGTTATATAACCCACATGAAAAGAAACTTGATTCTAGGACTGTCAGTGGGTTTTTCATTGGCTATCCTGAAAAATCAAAGGGGTATACTTTTTACTGTCCTAAGCATAGTACGAGAATAGTTGAGACGGTAATGCTAGGTTCATTGAGAACGGTGAAACTAGTGGGAGTGGTGAATCTAGAAAGGTGGACATTCAAGAAATTCAGGACGAAGTTTCTTCTCCTGTTGTTTCACCTCCTATAGTTGTTCCTATTGTTGCATCACAGACAAATAGCACAATAGAACAACATGATGATGAGCTAATCCCACCAGATGATAATATTATCAATGAACCTGTCACAATTCAAGAAGAGAATAGTGCACCACAAGAACCATTAAGGCGATCTGATAGAGCAAGGAGATCTGCCATTTCTAATGATTATGTGGTTTACGCTATTGAAAGTGAATGTGACTTAAGTATTGATGAATACCCGAAGTCATTCAAAGAAGCCATGGAAAGTGATAATTCTGAAAAATGGTTTATTGCCTCAAAAGATGAAATGAAGTCTTATGTGTGATATAAGAGTATGGGACTTAGTAGAGTTGCCTGACGGTTTCAAGACCGTTGGTTCTAAATGGATTTATACTATTAAACGCGACTCGAAAGGTGCCATTGACAGATACAAGGCTCGCCTTGTAGCTAAAGGTTTCACCCAAAAAGATGACATTCTCTCCTGTTTCTAAGAAGGATTCTCTAAGAATTGTTTTGGCTTTGGTAGCTCAGTATGATCTTGAGCTTCACCAAATGGATGTGAAAACCGCCTTTCTGAATGGAGATCTTGAGGAAGAAGTATATATGGACCAACCTGAAGGATTTGTGGTCGCAGGAAAAGAACATATGGTATGTAAGCTGAGAAAGTCAATATATGGACTTAAACAAGCTTCCAGACAATGGTATCTAAAGTTTAATGATACCATCACGTCATATGGTTTTGTAGAGGTCATTGTTGATCGATGTATCTACGTTAAGATCAGTGGGAGCAAGTTTATTATGTTAGTCTTATATGTTGATGATATTTTGCTTGCTGCAAATGACATGGGGATGTTACATGATACAAAGAAGTATCTCTCTAAGAACTTTGAAATGAAAGATATGGGTGAGGCATCCTATGTGATCGGAATAGAAATATTTCGAGATAGATCACAAGGTTTGTTAAGTTTGTCTCAGAAAGGATATATTAATAAGATCTTAGAGAGATATAAGATGGAAAAATGCTCTGCATGGGATAGCTCCAATTCAGAAGGGAGATAAGTTCAGTAAAATGCAATGTCCTAAAAATGAATTGGAGCGTAAGGAAATGGAAAGAATTCCATATGCATCAGTAGTTGGGAGTTTGAACTATGTTCAGACATGTACTCGGCCAGATATCACTTTTGCTGTTGGTATGTTGGGTCGATATCAAAGTAATCCCGGAATGGATCACTGGAAAGCTGCAAAGAAGGTTCTCAGGTACTTGCAAGGCACCAAAGAGCACATGCTTACATTCAGGAGATCCAATCATCTAGAGATCATTGGATATTCAGATTCAGATTATGCTGGATGCGTCGATAGCAGGAAATCGACGTTTGGCTATTTGTTCCAATTAGCCGGAGGAGCAGTATCGTGGAAAAGTGGAAAGCAGTCTGTCATTGCTACTTCTACTATGGAGGCTGAGTTTGTGGCATGCTTTGAGGCCACAATTCATGCATTGTGGCTGCGGAACTTTATCTCAGGGCTTCAAATTGTCGACAATATTGAGAAGCCGCTGAGAATCTATTGTGATAATTCTGCAGCTGTCTTCTTTTCAAAGAATGACAAGTACTCGAAGGGTGCCAAGCACATGGAGATAAAGTATTTGTCTGTCAAAGAAGAAGTACAGAAACGTAGAGTGTCCTTTGAGCACATAGGGACGGATATGATGGTTGCGGATCCGTTAACTAAAGGACTACCACCCAAGGCGTTCATTGGCCATGTAGAACGTATGGGTATTATAGATAAAGCCTTGCTATTTTAGATATGGAATGCTCATTTGTGTGTGACACTATGAATTCACTTAAAGTTATGTTTCTGTTTTATTAAGTATGTTATTATTAAAGTATGTGTATACACTTATGGTTCAGAGATAACATATGTTTAGTTTGAGAATTAAGGTTCTTCTCAAATGTAAGGAAACCTGTAAAATTATGACTAGTTTGTGATACATGGAAGGAATCATGTCGTTTAATGATGTGTGACCGCCATGATTCGATTAGTTCTGATTTTATTGTGGTGATTAAGGTTATATGAACTTGATATAACATGCACATTATAGATATTAAACTATTAAGTTAACACAAAGGTCAAGTGGGAGAATGTAAGAATATTTGTATTCTTATATATGTGACCTATGTGTTTTTCAGTTTAATATAAAGATCAAGTTCTTATAGTTAATGATTCTAATATAAAAGATGATTCCATGATGGATTGGTTTCAATGAAAGACATTAGAATCTGGGTGTATTGATAACCCTCTTCCCTTACCCTATAATGTTATAAACATCTTTCTCTAATGGTCATATGTATTATATATATGATTAACTATATATATTAATACATGTGAGAAAGGATGTGTTGAATGGTCGTGAGGTTACGTACGTAACCGTTGGTGTGCATGTGTTTCTATTATGTATATAAGAGATCTCAGAATTAAGAGACAAAACAACAACAACAATCACAGACACACACCATACAACACTCGTATAAGAAAAGTCAAAGAGAGATTAAGGTTTGGATCCCTTGTCCATCAAAAGGGATCAGAAGGAGAAAGGGTCAAAGGGAGGAGAAGATCAATTGAAGTATTGATCTCACAACAAGACAGAAGAAAGCATGGATCAAGGTTAGTGTTTCTTTCTTCTTCTCTAAGAAACTGTTAGGATTGGATTATATCAAATCTAGATTATCTTGGGATAGATTTCATATGTGATAGAAATCATTAAAGTGGTTTACAATTCAAACTAAGAACATGCATTATAGCTCATGTAATTTGCACAACATATTTTTCCTACTTACATTAAAATTGTGTGTTGATCACTGACAAACAAAGAACGTGGGACTTTTTGTGTTAAGCTTGTGAAAGAATCACCATGATGAATATCGTTACAAGAAAATACTTTTCTTCCTTTTAATTCTCATTTGCTAATTGTAATATCTATAGTACCATCGACCAATGACCAAGATCTGTAGCATAATACTCTAATTGACTATTGGTGTGAGTTACAAATGATTTACTTATTGAGCCGCTAAATGCAAAGTTTGTTTGGAACAATGTGATTAACTGTGGTCATAAGTCATTAGTCTCACTTCACGTTACGTTTCCATTAATAAAACATCTACATCTACGTTTGTATTCAATTTCATCTCATTAATGCAGCTTCCATATTTCGTAGGTTTCAAAGTAAACAAATTCAACTTTCGTATGAGCAAAATTATTCAACTTTCGAATTAATTTTCCATAATTCGAAATCCCAATAAATACATATAACAAATTCCTAGGACTTTTTTTTCAGCTCCTCAAACAATTAAATGAAAGAGGTAGTTTCTCTTTTGTTTCTTGCTATTCTTGTTTTGGTTTCAGATGCATAAGTAACGAAACCAAATATTGGTAACTTCCTTCGATGCCTTTGCTCTCGCGAGCCGGTACGGAGTCCGGAGAATCCGATCACATGCAGATAACCTTTAATACATTAACTCTACTGAAATAAAACAAATAAATAATTGAAAATGAAAGTACTAAATACAATAAATGATAAGATTTAGATATTTAAACTTTTATTTTATTTATTTACTAAATAGTAAATAGTATATCATAATACTTAGATTTTTTATAAAAATAAATAGAATGCAAAGAGGTCCAACAGAGAAACAGAGAGTAAAACACTTATTATAGTTAGAAAATCTTCAATTATATTAATTTGCAAACTTTTAATTTATTAACTCTATTGAAGTAAACAAAAAACAGTAACTGCATTTGGGTGTACTAAATGGTTTATATGATAACAGTTTAAGATTTTGAACCTTTAAATCTGTAAAAACAGATTTATATGATACTATTTAGATTTTGTTATAAATTAGTCCAAAAGAAAGAGGGTGAAAAATCCTTCTTTTCTATATATGATAAATTTTCTCTGCAGAGTTTTTTATTATATAAATCGAGATGCTATTAAGTGTATGTAAAACAAATTACTCGGAGTCTCCTTTTGCTGGAGTTCTTCAAACAAGAAAAAAACAAAAAATGAAAGAAGTAGCAGCCTTTGTTTTGTTTCTTGCTCTTCTTGTCTTGGTTTCAGATGCAAAAGTAACGAAACCAAATACTGGAAACTTCCTCAGATGCCTTAGTAACGGGACTGGTCCGGTGCATCCGATCACAGATGTTCTCCTTACTCCTGCTAACTCCACTTTCGTCTCATCTTACGTGTCCTACACGAAAAACAAAAGGCTCTCAAACCCTAAAGACACAAACCTAATAGCCATCATTGCTGCAAAACATGGATCTCATGTTCAAGCAACCGTGGTCTGCGCAAAGTTTGACGGAATCCAGATCCGTATCCGAAGCGGCGGTCACGACTACGAGGGTCTTTCTTACATCTCATCTGTGCCGTTTGTTATTCTCGATATGCATAACCTCCGGTCTATTGTCGTTGACGTGTCAAGCAAGACAGCTTGGGTTGAAGCTGGTGCGATCATTGGGAGAGCTCTACACCAAAATCGCTGAAGCGAGCAAAACGCTAGCGTTTCCGGCTGGCGTTGGCCCACGTTAGGAGCCGGAGGACACATCAGCGGCGGAGGGATACGGAAATCTGATTCGAAAGTATGGAATCTCGGTGGATCATGTGGTTGATGCTCATTTAGTTGATGTCAACGGCAAGGTTTTGAACAGAGCTTCCATGGGAGAAGATCTGTTTTGGGCGATTCGTGGCGGTGGCGGTGCCAGCTTTCGGCGTTATCCTCTCTTGGAAAATCAACCTCGTTGAGGTCCCAAAGACTTTAACAGTGTTTAAAGTCAACAAAACGTTGGAGCAAGGAGCCACTGATGTTCTCTACAAGTGGCAGCTTGTCGCTAGCAAATTGCCTAAAGAGCTTTTCTTGAGAGCAATGCCTCAAATCACGAAAGGAGCTAAATCCGGCGAGAAAACATTGCGGTTAAGTTCTACGCTCAGTTCTTAGGCTCACCGAAGAAGCTATGGCGATTATAAACAAGAACTTGCCAGAATTAGGGCTAAAACGTGAAGATTGCTACGAAATGAGCTGGCTTAATACGACGACGTTTTGGGCGGATTATCCGTTAGGGACACCGACGAGCGTTCTTCTGAAGAGGCCATCGGATCCGCCGGGAGCATTCTTCAAGAGCAAATCTGATTACGTCAAGAAACCAATCCCAAAAGAAGGAATTGAGAAGATTTTCAAAACAATGTTGAAATTCAACACTCTGTGGATGCAATGGAACCCTTACGGCGGAGTGATGGACGAGATCCCTTCGAATGCCACCGCGTTTCCTCACCGGAAAGAAAACCTGTTCAAGATTCAGTACTTTGCGTTATGGACCGACGCAAAGGCCACAGACGCTAATCTCGGTTTGATGAAAGAACTTTACGGTGTGGCCGAGCCGTACGTGTCAAGCAACCCGAGAGAGGCGTTCTTGAATTACAGAGACATCGATGTTGGAAGCAATCCGAGTGGAGAAACGATTGTTGAAGAAGCTCAGATCTATGGATCGAAGTATTTCTTAGGGAATTTGAAGAGATTGATGGATGTTAAGGCTAAGTATGATCCTGAGAATTTCTTCAAGTACGAGCAGAGTGTTCCTCCTCTTCGTGCAACATAAACTCTCTTTATCGAGTTTCTCTTTGTTTACTAAGTTATATTATTAGCATATTAACTAAAAGTTATCTGACCATAGCTGTATGCAATTTGCAAAACGTATTCGTCCTACTTACATTAGGATTATCTGTTTTGTGATATGTTTGATAATTAATAAAGACTTTGGGACTACTTGTGTTAAATTTGCATTAGTTACATTGGACAATCTGAGGTCTAGTCATAGCATTTTATTGCCCAATAAGTTATCAAATAGTGTCAAAAATAACACCAATAAGAAGAAAAAAAAAACAGTAGCCACAAAACTTTTAGAACTCCATGACCAGGAACACCTTACGTTATAGGCCCAAACTAAAGCCAGCAAATTTCCGTTATAAATGCACAAAAGTTTCCATAAATTATCGAAGACGACCTACCAACTGTTATCTAATCCATTAATTAACTACTGCTTATGAAGTGAGAGAAAAAGTTTGAACCTGCCCATGTTTCCGACTATATCCAGAATCCATTGCTCTTATTAGGAAACTCGAAATCAAGGTTCCTATCATAAATATATGGTCCACAGACATTATTCATATCGTTACGGTAACGTATAACCATGAATTTTCGACCAAAACAAAAAAAGACATGGATTTTTGTAATAAAACCTAGAGATAAACATTGATGCTCAGTTAGTCAACAGCCATCACTTGACGTTATAAAGTTAACAAGTGATGAAGCTTATGTTTAAAGATTTAACATCAACTAGGGTTTATCTCGGGCTACGCCCGGGAATTATTTGTAACTATAAATTTTTTTATTTGAACATGTAAGTTGTTTATATGTTTTGGCATCCGGGTTTTTTTAAAATATTTTGTGATATAATCTTTAATTATATGAAGAATATATCTTGATGAATATTAATTCTTGAAATTTATATTCCTTTTCTTTTGTTAGAAAAAAATGAAATGTTTTAAAAAAATATTTCAGAATTATTGAAAACTACAACAATATATGTTGAAACAAACCACACTATATTAGTTTAAGATGTTGATATTATGGAAACAAACCACATTTAATTTTCAAAGCATCATACTTGTATATGTTTTTCTGTTTTCATTTGTGGAATTTGTTTGTGGAATTTGTTTGTGGAATGATGATGCAAGAGAATGTGCCTCTTCAATGTCATGGAACCAAACATGTCATATGGTTATAAATTGTCTTCATCTGTTTATTGGTTTGCTTTTTATCTAATTACTTTGGAACAAAATATAACAACCTTGTCTATTAAGTTTGATACTTGCTACTTTGATACTTATCAACCTTGTCTTCATCTTCCTAAACCCTCTTCAACAGCTGCTTTCGTGGCATTCAAAGCATATGTCACCCTGTCTTTCTTATCACCAACTTCAGCGTCACTTGCTCCTCCAATCTATACCCAGAAAGCACCAAAAGTTTACAACAAAACCAAGCTGCTGCTGTTTTTACACTACAAAAAATCTTTAACATCGACTAACCTTCAAAACTGCAACAACTCCAGAGAGCTTCGCCAACCTTTCTTGCAATTTCTCCTTGTCATAACCTGTGGTGCTCAGTTCCATTGCTGACCTTATCTGTTAATTGCAATTAGAAAAAAATAGCAACTTTACATTTTCCACTCATAACAGTACCCTTTAACAATAGAAGGATTTTCATAATCTATTGCATACAAATTCTACCAACTGATTTAATCAGGGGTAAGGAACAAAACAAACCTGCTCACATCTTTCCTCGATGGCTTTCTTGTCGCCAGCTCCATCAAGAATAATAGTGTCGTCCTTGGAGACTGTAGTTTACATACTGAGCCACCTTCGCTAAATTCATGCAAAGGTCATCTGCGATAACCTTTATCAACCTTGAATACAGGATTTTCAAGGGAACATGAATCCGAATTTACTAATGGAAGCTAAAGCATACATACTTTGAGAGCCAACTCCAACACTTTGACTTTAGAGTTAATTGTGGTGATCTTCTTCTCATGGATAACGAATAAGAGGATCATCTAGTTCCTGCAAATATCAAAACTGAACTGACTCATCAAGGATTGAAACTTATCCATCAAATGTCATGATTTTCCTTTTGACATCGAAACTAATGTCAGATTTCCCAAAAACAAAGTCGGAGAATTTTTTTTGACATGAAGTTAAAGAATCAAATCGTTATACATAATCTGCTAACGATGCCGCTTGCGTGATGCTTCCTAAATTAAGAAGAAGGCATATTTAACAAAAGGTAAAAGAAGCAAAACATCAAACTTACAGTTGGGATCAAGTTAAGCATTTTAGAAGCCAGACGCTCATCTTCTAACAATGATTTGCTATCTTCTGATACTCCTGAAGCAATAAGATCTGCGAAGGTCCAAAGAAGGAACCAAAGCTGCACAGAAAAAAAAAATTAAGAAAAACAGAGTTGAATTTAATTTTATGCTAAATCTATCAACACAATTGTACAATAAAACCAAGAAAATAGCACCTACTCGTTATACATAAGTTTTCTTTTCCTCTGCTCCGAGGTTGGAGTTGGATCAATATTGTTTCCCTTTTGGCATATTCTTTCTGATTGATTCCATAATTCATTGACACAATTCAAAAAACTCTGATTCATAATTCTGCATATTTCCTGGAAGATAGTTTGTCATAGTAAGTTCCTGCAAGTTAAAAAACTCCAATTCAATATGTGTGTTTCACATAAACCAGTGTAAGAAAATCTAAGCAAGCGATGTCAAAAGTAATTATACAATACGAAGATGAACAAAGAGAAAAACAAAACAGAGACATATCTATTGATAGCAACTATCAGCACAGCTTAGAGCCTTAGATCATGTAAACATATAAATAGCAAATAAGCACAACAATGACCACCTGGTGACCATTCTCTATTATAAATAGCATCTCTGTTATGACTACATTGTACGGATGGGAAAGATATAAAACTGTATTGAGAGTTTAAGAAAATCAAGTTACCTCTCTTGCAGCTAGTTTCGAAAGATGTTAAAAAATAGCTCCGACAAACACCTGAAAATTGGACAGCACATACGCTTTATAAAAACCAGGACGTTGTGTGTCAAAGTCTCTCTCCAGATGAAGCATCTCCTCGCGAATCGTGATGCCTCTATTCATATATGCCATCTTCTTCTCTTGCTCTTTGACGAGCTTCTCCCTCTCCTCCACAAACTCCTCCATATTCTCCTGAAAGACTATGAAGCTTGAAAGCTCCTCAGCTCTGCAGGACAGTCAAACCAGAATAATTTAGTTACTATTGTGTTTGAACAGAAAAAAAGATTCGGAATATGAAAGTATGTATACCCCTTTCGGCAATCATCGTTGCAAGAGGGATTAGTGTTCTTCTTCTGCTGCTCAGCAACCTTGGCACGTTCCTGCTACTACAACATCTCGAAATTCTCCAGCTTTTACCTCTTGCTCTATCCGTTGTTCGATTTCAACAGCCTGCAGATTCATACAAAAACCAAGGTCACTCTTGATGCCTTGCTCAAAATCATATGCATATCTTGATTCAGTAGTATCAAACCTGTGCATTCTCATCAGTATCTTCTATATGATGTCGATTTCTGCTGCAGAGTAAGCCCACAGGTCGCATGGAAGTTGAAAAACCAAGACACTTCAGTTTCTTGCTACAGTTTCGTCTCATATGAGGACAATGCCTACCTACTTAATCAAACAAACATGTTCAAAGAATGCAAGTACAAAGCACAAAACACAACATTTCTTTGATTATATAAGCTCTTAAATAAGTTCAGTATCATACTATTGATCATATCCTTTCGGAAAATGAGCTCTCAAATTCAATTACCTAACTATAATAAAAAAAAAGTCCAACAAAGTAAAAAATGTGATAACTAATCGAGTCACACACTTCCGTAACTATAATCAGATGAAGAAATTAAACATTTCCAGATCCAATATAAACGACAGAATTATCATAATTCCAACTTGTGACCAACAAAACTCTAAATCCCAATACCAAGAGTTAGTAAACATAAATCGAACTTCTGAGAGAGAACCTTGACAGTGTTGATTGAACACGGCCAGATCTTGCCTGGTTGCCAGGAAGCCAAATAGTTGGCGAACACCTCCAGAAATTCAGTTCCGCTTACGGTCTCAGGCGTCTCTTCCTAAACCTTTGTCTCGCGCCATGTCTTTCTGGTACAATACGATTCCTTTCTAGATCTACTCACGGCGAATCGTGATGTTGCATTTGATTCTCTCTGCATACTCATCGATTTGCCTCGATTTCTTTCTTTGCCTCGATTTCTCAATTCTGTAAGAAACTTTTCGTTTTTAAAACTGTAAGTAGATTGAAATACAAAGAAGTGAATAACGAAAGTAGGGAGAAGATGCAACGCAATATGCCAATATATATGATGAACTGAATCGCTGATTAAATGTGTAACAGAGGAGACGAAGAATTTAGAAGAAGAAGAGCGATCGTCATGAAAAAGTAAGTTTTCTTTTCTTTTTTTCTTAAAAAATGCCACGTGGCATTCAAAGGGAGAATCTCTAAGGTGCTCTGAGAGATCCCAGAGAGCTACTTTAAAGTATTACTAGGGTTTGACCCACGGAGTGATAGTTTCTGAATTTGTATTTTTATTAAAAATTGTTTATTTAAATATTTCGACATTTTATGCGAGAGATTTTTAATCTTTGTTATTCGTTTATAGTATGAAAATTAGGCATTTTAATCCATTTAAAAAAAAATTAAAGCATTGATCGTAACCATATATTAAATATGATAGATTTAACCGAGATACATAAAACTCAAATAACTATATTATAAAAAAATTGAAAATAAAACATTATTCTACTAAATGAGGTTATATACGATACTTTTTTTATTCGATTTATTATAGATTTTAATTAAAAAACCATATTAAATGAAAAAAAAAATACATTTGGATACCTACTAAATGAGGTAAGGGGAAATTTCAAACATATATATTAAAATTAGGAAAAGGTGTATTTTTGAAAATTTCCACACTATAGGTGTAGTTTTGAAAATTTGCACCTCAAGAGATGTATTTCATAACATTTCTCATGAGGTTATATACAAAACAATTTATATTATTTTGTTTTTAAAAATTCAAATTATAACATGTACAGAAAAAGTTTTAGATTTTTTTTGATAGATTTTTTATATTGTGATTCAAATTATTTTATTAAATAAATTTAAACAAAGATGATAGAAGATGTATACTGATTTCAAAAGAAATTATTATGATGGAATTAAATTGAATTTCATATTTTCCTTATTTACTAATTTTCGTAGTTGCCAATTAAGGAAAGAGAATGATAAATTTAATTTCATTATTTGGTTGTAAGCATAATATGCAATGGCATATATTGTAATTTATCTAGTAAAACTTGTCTTAATTAGAAATTAGTCTAACAGTGAACCTAGTGATGACACATAAGCAATGGCATTCTTGTTAATAATACATTAGACAAAGGTTATTTAGTTAGTGTTTTCTCTTTTAATATATTAGGGATAGATTTTTTTTAAAACACCTTATTACCTTAACCATTACCAATTGCCCATATTGTCGATATGTGAACTTGACAAAAACCATTATTTCACATCGATCCAAAATAGTCCCCACTCAATGATTCAGCTCTTTACGAGTGTGCATGACATATGCCATTCGATGATCACATCCATCTACATACTATTTGGATCAAGACGTGTGATTCTATCTATCCACAATTTTTCATATATCGCCCCCCTACCAAATTTATTATATTTGTTATTCACTTTCAATTTTTCCTCCAAGAACTAATTTAAAAATACTAAATATATGTATACTTTCTGCCTAATAAGTCCTACTTCACTCTTTCTTCATCTCAACCTAAAGAAGCAAACTCAATTGTTGCAGAAAAAACAAAACCAAATGAAACTCCAAAGCTTCTTTAGCTCTATATTGATTTTCTTCACTACCATCTTCTTACTTGTACAAACTCCTCATCCGGTTTCAGCTAACCAGTCTAATCACGTCGGTTTTCTCCAATGTCTATCCTTCCGGTTAAACGACACCAACATCGTCTCAAAAGTCATACACACACTAAACGACTCTAATTTCTCCTCACTTTTAGCTTCATCAATACAAAACCCAAGATTCTCCACTCCTGATACACCTAAACCGATTCTAATCCTTACTCCGGTTCAACCTTCCGATGTTCAATCGGCGGTTAAGTGCTCACGCCGGTACGGCATCCACGTCAGAACCCGTAGCGGAGGACACGACTACGAAGGCCTATCTTACGTTACCCACAACAAGCCCTTCGTCGTCCTCGATTTAAGAAACCTCCGGTCCATCACAATCGACGTCAATAACCGGACGGTTTGGGTCCAAACCGGAGCCACGATCGGGGAATTATACTACGAAATCGGTAAAAAGAGTCGAACTTTAGGCTTCCCCGCCGGAGTTTGCCCCACCGTCGGCGTCGGAGGACACTTCAGCGGCGGAGGATACGGGACTCTGCTGAGAAAACACGGTTTAGCCGCCGATCACGTGATAGACGCGCTTGTGGTCGACGCGCGAGGGAGGATTCTCGAGAGGCGAGAGATGGGTGAAGATTTCTTCTGGGCGATTCGCGGAGGCGGTGGATCGAGCTTCTGCGTTGTCCTTTCATGGAAGATTCGTCTAGTCGACGTTCCGTCAACAGTAACCGTCTTCAACGTCACCAAATTCTCGGAACAGAGCGCTTTGAAAATCATCCACCAATGGCAATTCGTCTCCGATAAAGTCTCTGATGATTTATTCGTACGAGTCATGTTGCAGAGATACAAGAACGTGGTTCGAGCTTCGTTTCCGGGACTGTATCTCGGTCCGGTTAACAATCTATTGCGATTGGTAAACCGGGAATTTCCGGAATTGGGTTTGGTTAAAGAAGACTGTAAAGAGATGAGCTGGATCGAGTCTGTGGTTTGGTTCGCCGAGTTAGGAGAAGTACCGACCGATGTTCTTCAGAGACGCACGCGTGCTTCGCTAGCTTTCAAGGCGAAATCTGATTTTGTTCAAGAGCCAATGCCAGAGATCGTGATTTCGAAGATGTGGAAGAGATTGCAAGAACCGGAAGCAGAGCTTGCTCAGCTGATCTTCACTCCATTCGGTGGTAAAATGAGTGAGATTGGAGATTACGAGACGCCGTTTCCGCATCGTGGAGGGAATATGTACGAGATTCAGTACTTGAGTTACTGGAGAAGAGAGGAAGGAGAAGAGAAGGAGAAGTATATGAGATGGGTGGAGAGAGTTTACGATGAGATGAGTGAGTTTGTGGCGAGGTCTCCGAGAGGAGCTTATATAAATCTAAGAGATCTTGATTTGGGGATGTATGTTGGAGATGATAAGAGGAGTAAGTACGAGGAAGGGAAGAGCTGGGGAGTGAAGTATTTTAAGAACAATTTCGAGAGGTTGGTGAGAGTGAAGACGAGTGTTGATCCTTTTGATTTCTTCTGTGATGAACAGAGCATTCCAACTTTTAGATCTGTTGAAGTTATTTGAGAGAGTCGTAAAAGTGTTTTGAGGTGTTGTGTCGGAAACAGAGAGCATAGAGTGAAGTGTTTGTTTGGTTCGGTCTCTTTTCTTGACAATTTTTAGATTCAAATATTGTTTATTTTTCTAGTACACTATAATGGAATATATGATAGTGTTCAGTTTTACTTGATACAAGTCGATCTTTAGAGTCTCCAAGATCAAATAATAATCCAAATGGAATGTCATGGACAAAAAAAACTTCATATTTGTTGTTAAGACCAAATCAGGTCAAGCTCAATACGGATAGGAACAACATTGTTGCCAAATCACATTTAGATTAAATTTTCGAGTTGTCCATGTACTAATCTCAAGAGAAACTCAAAGCGGTTTTTAATTATTTGTGTATCATCCAAAGATATTAGCGTGTGGAACAAGATTTTAATTAGGGATTTGCTAGAAAACTATCAGAAGAAGAATGTAAACTTTTTTATTCAAATGGAAGCAGGTCTAGGTTAAAAGTCTGATAACGGAACAGAGATATTGAAGATGAATAGTTCATTTGTCCGACGGAAAACATCGTGCACGGTGACTTAACGGGCAAGTTTATACAAACTTCCTCCCCGTTTCCTTGGTAACTGAGGAAGCTTGAGTTTTAGAAAACGCTACGATTTCTTGTACTAGAAACAACAAACATTATGTTGGATGCAATCTTAGTTGTCACACACTCACATATGCTGATGAAGAAAATTGCTTGGCGCTAATCAAACATTCCTTGGATCTCATAGATTTAAAGGATTAGTCGGTGATTTATTCCTTCGATCTCATTGAATAATAATCATCTAACGGCCAAAACCTAATCTAATTCAGAAAAACTTCCAATAATACAAATAAGACGATTAAATAATTGACGAGAAAGTGTAGTTTGTAGCTAGGGACCACAAAAGTAAAACTTAAAATCCAAGTAGAATACGAATAAATACATTTGATTGACGTGAAAATCTCATGTAAATCTTAACAATCTCATATCAGAAATTATGATGATTATGTCCCAAACCCAACATTGGGTAACATTGAATAAAATTTTTTATTTAAAATGAAAAGATTACATGTAGTTATTTAAAAATTGAAAAATGGATAAAAATCGATTTTTCATGGATGGGTTGTGGATCCTGAAAATGCAAAGACCACAATCCTTAACAATACAGAACAAAAAATAGATATGAGAAGATCCCATCCTACATTCTCTAATGAATATTTTATCAAGATTCGTTGTTTGCCGGTTTTCAGCTTGGATTGTTCATCTCAAACATTCACATGATTTGGTAATCTTAACATGATTACAAAAAAAAAAAAAAAAAAAAAAGACATGAGCCATGCATACCATAAAATTGCGTGAGTTGGTGGGTCTTAAAACTTTTATTATTTAATCTTTTGACCTATAATATATCTTGTGCTATTTTGGTGTAATTTATAACCTTGGGATTCAGATTGATGAGACAAACCTATTTTTCTTTTTCTTTCGTCATAAACCTATTGTTCTTTAGAGACTTGAAATAAGTAATAAAAAAAATACTCAACATATTAAAAAAAGATGGTGAGGTGTGCTACGCATTTGATCGAATATTTCATCAGAAAAAAAAAATCATTTCAGACTTAAAAATCACTAGTTTTTAAACAATGAAACAAAAAATTACATTTATTTAAATTATTACACACAATAGCCTCTTTTAGCAAAACAATAATTATACCAGAAATCAATTACAAATATCTGGTAGCAAACATGGTTAACTGCTATTTTCCACCAGAATAAAACTTTGTTTCTCCCAATTAATAAAACTTTTTATAATGAAATGATCGATGTATAAGACAAACTTTTTCTACCTAATGGGCGTCTTTAATTAACCGGTTCGAATGTGGTTTTAACTTTTAACTCATCAGATTTCGACTATGGCACCACGTTTGGGATAAATTATTCAAGTTAAATAATAAAAAAACTTAAAGCTAAAAAACTTTTTGAAATGCAAAAAAAAGGCCACATTTGGCCTTCAAAATTAAATGGAAAACGAAGAAAAACACGTTATTATCTTGGAATGAATTCGTGAACGCATACAACATCACTCAACGTTTTTTAATGCTAGCCACACAAATTAGAACCCTTTCACTTTCAACTTTAACAACAACCAAACATGACAATAAAAACATTTTTTGAATTTTATCACATTGAATCTTATTGTTTGAATTCTATCTATGATCTGTGTATCTCAATTTTTATGTTGAAAATTACAATAGAGGAATTGTATCGTCTCCACCCCTAATATAAAGACTCGTCAACAAAATATGCACATCATCTAAGAACTCTTCCCTTAGAAAAAAAAAACTTATAAGTACTTAATAGTGTAATATTTCTAAAAAATCATAATATGTCTATCGGAGTTTTTTCAAAGGTTTAACGTAAGATGACTTGAAATTCAGATACATCAAAGATGAAAACTTAAATGAGTGTACAAATTAAACTACAATTTACAATGTAAATCGTATTAAGAGTCAAAACAAAAATTAAATGCGTCCCATCTCTGAATTTGATGGTTGATGAAAATTCTAGATAATGTCTCAGAATGCCTAGTCAATATCGATTCGCATGATAATTTTTGTTGTTATAGAGGAACTACGTAGAGACAAATTAAACAACTAAATAAAAGTGGGAAATAAAAGCAAAACAAACAAAAAAAACAGAAGATTTTTGTGAAGCTTTGTTCATTTAAAAAACAATATACCTATAGTATACTAGTTACATTCTCAATCAAACTCATGCATCGTAATCTAGTCGTGATAAAAATTGTTTGGTCACGTTGTTACTTTTAAAGTCTTCCCTTTGAACTTTTCTTTCCTTCTACACACAGTCCCACAAAGCCAATTGGACTCTATTACCGACGTTGACCATTGACTTAAAAACCAAAAGCAAATGAAATTAATTGAAACAAATGAAAGAAATAACGGCTTTAATGTCCTTTCGGAAACATATCTTCACTCTGCGGTTATAAATAAGTGCAAGCAGAGAACAGAGAAACACGAGACCCAAGAAAGATCCCATTTTCACAATGCTCACGACACGACGAACCTTTGTCTCCGTCATTTTCTTCATCCTCTTCCTCTCTCTCCCTCGCCCATCATTCTCTCAGTCTCCTCCGTCGAATTCTGTCTACAACTCATTCCTCAAATGTTTCTCCGAGAGGACTAAAACCCCACAAACCCAAATCGCCAAAAATGTCTTCTCTCAGAGCAATCCTGGTTATTCCTCTGTTCTCCGTGCTTACATCCGCAATGCGAGATTCAACACTTCCTCCACACCAAAACCCACAATCATCGTCACTCCACGGTCCTATAGCCACGTCAGCGCCGCCGTCATCTGCTCGAAACCCCTAAATTTCGTCCTCAAAATCCGAAGCGGCGGCCACGACTACGATGGTCTCTCTTACATCTCCGATAAACCGTTTTTCATCCTCGACATGTCGAATCTCCGAAACGTCTCCGTCGATATCGCCGATCAATCGGCTTGGATCTCCGCCGGAGCGACCCTCGGCGAGGTTTATTACCGGATTTGGGAGAAGAGCAAGATCCACGGATTCCCAGCCGGAGTTTGTCCGACGGTTGGTGTCGGCGGGCATATAAGCGGCGGTGGGTACGGTAACATGCTGAGGAAATTCGGTTTATCAGTCGATAACTTGATCGACGCGAAGATCGTCGATGTCAACGGTCGGATCCTAGACCGGAAATCGATGGGCGAAGATCTTTTCTGGGCGATCTCCGGTGGAGGAGGAGGAAGCTTCGGCGTCGTTTTGGGATACAAAATCAAGCTCGTTCCCGTGCCGTCCGTCGTTACTGTTTTCCGGGTGGAGCAGTATATGAATTCCGGAGCTGTGGATATGGTTCACAAATGGCAATCCGTGGGTCCGAAAACGGATCCGAATCTGTTCATGAGAATGCTGATTCAACCGGTGACGAGGAAGAAGGTGAAGACTGTGAGAGCCTCTGTGGTTGCTCTGTTCTTAGGCAGAGCAAACGACGTCGTTTCGCTGCTTAGTAAAGAGTTTCCTGAATTGGCTCTGAAGAAGGAGAATTGTACGGAAATGTCTTGGCTACAGTCTGCTTTATGGTGGGATAATCACGTTAACGCCACACAGACTGATCCGAAAGTGTTTCTAGATCGGAATCTTGATACCTCTAGCTTTGGTAAGAGGAAATCGGATTACGTAGCGACTGAGATTCCTAGGGCTGGGATTGAGTCTCTGTTCAAGAAGATGATCGAACTGGGGAAAATCGGATTGGTTTTCAACCCGTACGGCGGGAAAATGGCGGAGATTCCGGTTAACGCGACGCCGTTTCCACACAGGAAGAAGCTATTCAAGATTCAGTACTCTGTGAACTGGAAAGAGTCTTCTCCGGAGTTGGAGAAGGGTTTCTTGAATCAGGCTAAGGTGCTACACAGTTTCATGACAGGTTTCGTGAGCAAGAAGCCAAGAAGTGCTTACTTGAATTACAGAGATGTTGATATTGGAGTGAACGATCACGGTGAGAATAGTTACAAGGAAGGGAAGGTGTATGGAAAGAAGTATTTTGGAAAGAATTTCGATCGGTTGGTGAAGATTAAAACCGTTGTCGATCCCGGGAATTTCTTCAGGAACGAACAGAGTATACCTACCTTGCCAAGTAAGGCAAAATAGATTTATGATTTGATTATTTGATATATAAAGATTTGTCCACTTTCATGTAATCTTTAAGTGAAGCAATATAGAATTATATATGGTTTTGGATATTCACATATTGTTGTATATTGTATGGTTTCTCTGATTCATGGAACTCTACAATGAGCTTTTTAACCAAGTTTGCCAGAAAGTGATGAGTCATTTTTGGTGATGAGTACCAAATTCGAAACTGGTGATTATTGGAATTAGCTACATGCTTTTGAAATTTATGGCTGATTTTTTTTGTATGAATTTATGGCGAAATTTGTGGGAGTCTATGGTTTGGTTTGGAGTACTTGACGATGGTTCTGATGTTTCTTGTGAGTAACGGCATGTGGAAATTTATGGCACTGCTTGTGACCTGCAATATTGTTTAATGAATGATATTGTTGACTTATAGACCTGGTTTGGTCCCAGTTGCAAAGAGAACGGTGGTGCCTGAGCCAGGGATTGCTAGACGGTTGTTAGGAGCCAAAGGAGCCACCGCAGTTGCGACTGCGAGTCTGCGACGATGGTCTTACACGTCTTCTAGACTAGTAGATTGCTTTTTGGTTTGTTTTGTTTTGAATCATTGAGTGATGATATCTATTCATAAGATTAAACAGAGCCTCACTCCACACTCCTATGGGAGCTGTCCAAGTTACTTGAAGCTGCGAGAGATTTAAAAGATTGGAGATCGATGAAGTGTTAGTGAGCAGCTGGTTTAGACATGTTATGATGTAATATCTAAACTGTTATATATGCTTTTTATGTAATTATCTAGATGTTTATATAGCTATTTAAAATGTTTAAGACTTATGTTAGGAGTAGATAAATATACAGCCAAGCAAGCTTTCCATTTTTAGGAAGTGTATTAATTTGTGTATATATACATGCCTTTAGTTCATGAAGATATTTATAGATTTTGCATTCTACCAGTTTTCGATTTTGTAGATATATGTTTATGTATTACAATGGTAACTATGCATAAAAATAAATTGATTTTCGCTAAATAGAAGTCAACCTTTTTTTTGGTCAAAGTACTAAATAGAAGTCAACACGTTTAAGAGTTAACATAAAAAGACTTGAAAATAATCTAATTTGATTTAATTCCATTCCACTAAAATAAAACTAACAATATATAATTCACTAGTTGACCAAAAAAAAAAGATATATATATATATATATATATATATATATATATATAATAATTCACTAGAACACTAAACATGATATATTTTGGCTTTACACTAAATATATGTATACGAGTAGCACTAAATTATGTATACGAGTAGTCGAATAATTTTAGACTCCGGATAAAACATGCAGAAAGGAACATAATTAGTGCGGGAGATAATGGATTTGAGTGAATTTGCCACCGACATCGACGAATGCAACGACCATTGACTAATACAAATTTGACTATTAAAGATAACTTGAACATATATTAGATAAAATTAGAACTCAAATAAAAATAATCAAATACTCCAAACAATCTTTTATATTAAATGGTACAATATCTACTCTGTCTTGCCGTTATAAAAGTGTACACGAAGCAGCAACGAACCCAAACAAAGAACTCATTTTACGACAATGGTTACGACAAAAACTTTTGTATCTCTTCTTTTCTCTGTCCTCTTCTTGTCTCTCCCTTTCTCATCATTCTCTCAATCTCCTCCGTCGAGTTCTGTCTACGACTCATTCCTCAAATGTTTCTCCGAGAGGACTAAATCCCCACAAACCGAGATCGCCAAAAATGTCTTCGCTCAGAGCAATCCATCTTACTCCTCTGTTCTCCGCGCTTACATCCGCAACGCGAGGTTCAACACTTCCTCTACTCCCAAACCCACGATCATCGTCACTCCTCGGTCCGATAGCCACGTCAGCGCCGCCGTACTCTGCTCAAAACCCTTAAACTTCGTACTCAAAATCCGAAGCGGCGGCCACGACTACGATGGTCTCTCCTACATCTCCGATAAACCATTTTTCATCCTCGACTTGTCGAATATCCGTGACGTCACCGTCGATATCGCGGATCAATCGGCGTGGATCTCCGCCGGAGCTACTCTCGGCGAGGTTTATTACCGGATTTGGGAGAAAAGCAAGATCCACGGATTCCCCGCCGGAGTATGTCCGACGGTTGGTGTCGGCGGCCATTTAAGCGGCGGTGGGTACGGTAATATGCTGAGGAAATTCGGATTATCAGTCGATAACTTGATCGATGCGAAGATCGTCGATGTCAACGGTCAGATCCTAGACCGGAAATCGATGGGTGAGGATCTTTTCTGGGCAATCTCCGGCGGAGGAGGAGGAAGCTTCGGCGTCGTTTTGGGATACAAAGTCAAGCTCGTCCCTGTACCACAAACCGTTACGGTTTTCCGGGTGGAGCAGTACATGGATTCCGGAGCTGTGGATATGGTCACCAAATGGCAATCCGTGGGTCCGAAAACGGATCCGAATCTGTTCATGAGGATGCTGATTCAGCCGGTGACGAGGAATAAGGTGAAGACGGTGAGAGCTTCAGTGGTTGCTCTGTATCTGGGGAAAGCAAACGACGTCGTTTCGCTGCTCGCTAAGGAGTTTCCAGAGTTGGGTTTGAAGAAGGGAGATTGCAAGGAGATGACTTGGATCCAATCGGCTCTATGGTGGAATAACGACGTAAACGCCACTAAGACGGATCCTAAAGTGTTTCTAGATCGGAATCTCGATTCCTCTAGCTTCGGGAAGAGGAAATCAGATTATGTAGCGACGGAGATTCCTAGAGATGGGATTGAGTCTTTGTTCAAGAAGATGATCGAATTGGGGAAGATCGGATTGGTTTTCAATCCGTACGGCGGGAAAATGGCCGAGGTTGCAGAGGATGCGACGCCGTTTCGTCACCGGAATAAGCTGTTCAAGATTCAGTACTCTGTGAACTGGAAAGAGTCGTCTCCAGAGATAGAGAAAGGTTTCTTGAATCAAGCTAAAGTGCTTCACAGTTTCATGACCGGATTTGTGAGCAAGAACCCTAGAGGTGCTTACTTGAATTACAGAGATGTTGATATCGGAGTGAACGATCACGGGGTGGATAGTTACAAGGAAGGAGAGGTGTATGGAAGGATGTACTTTGGTCAGAATTTCGATCGGTTGGTGAAGATTAAAACGGCGGTTGATCCTCAAAATTTCTTCAGGAACGAACAGAGTATACCTACATTGCCAAGTAAGGCGTAAATGATTTATCATTTTATCGTTTGATATATAAAGATAAAGATTGGTATACGTTTGATGTAATGTTTAATGAAGCAATATAGTTTGGATACTGACATATTGTTGTATATTGTCTACTTTCTCTGTTTGATGGAATTTTACAATAAGCTTTTTAATCTTGCCTTAGATTGGTTGTACTTGTATATGACAGAGAGTAATAAGTCAATTTGTGGTGATTATTACCAAATTCGATAACTGGTGATTGTTGAGATCAGCTACCTGCTTTTGAAATTCATGGCGAAATTTGTGGGATTCTATGGTTTGGTTTGGACTTTGGAGTAGCTGATGATGATTCTGATGTTTCTTGTGATCTGAAATATTGTTTAAATGAATGATAGCGTTGTTGACTTATAGACCTGGTTTGGTCGCAGTTTCAAAGAGAACGGTGGTGCCTGAGACAGGGACAGCGAGTCGATGGTCAGGAGCCAGAGGAGCCACCGTAGTTGCGACGATGGTCTTACACGTCTTCTAGAAATTTAGATTGCTTTCTGTGTTTTGTTTTGAATCATTGAGTGATGGAGTCTCTTCACAAAACTGAACAGAGCATCACTCTTTTCACATCTACCGAAGTAATCTGAAGTTGCGACAGTTTTAACAGAATAGAGATTGTCGCTGGTTTAGACTTTAGATATGTTATGATCTAATTAGATTATAACTATTATTCTATATGCCTTTTTATTTAATTATCTAGATGTTTATAGTGATAGTCATAGGCTTTTCAAAATGATTAATAATTGGTTTAGGAAGCTAAGTATACACAGTTATTCATGGTTTCCGTTTTTAGGAAGAGTATATGCATGGCTTTAGTTCCTGAAGATACTTATAGGTTTTACATTCTACCAATATTCAGTTTTGAACGAATTATCATTTACTATTATGTTCATGTATTAAAATGGTAAGTTGCATAAAAAATTTGACTTTCACTAAATAGATATCAACACATTTAACATAAGTAGACTTAGAAAACAATCTAATTTGATTTGATATCAAATTATTTGATTTCACCACATAAATTAAAAATATATATAGCTAATTCTTTTGTATAAAAGAAGAAATAATTCACTAGAAAAAACCAGACATAAATATTTACATATTTTGTTGTTTATATACTAAACAGAAATTATTCATTTCGGCTTTACACAATTATATATACGCTAATACGAATACAATAGGGTCACATTTTCTTGACATGCAGAATGATAACGAATTTGCCATGAACTTGTTCTTGTTTCCTCTGCAGTTCCTAAAAACCAAACTAGAATTTTCCCACCGACATCTATTAGTGCAACGACCAATGACTAAAAACAAATTGACTCCTTAAACAGAAATTAACATTCACTAAATAAAATCAACAACTCAAATAAAAAACTAGGGGAAATCTTACATTAATATGCAGTGGATCATCCCATCAAAGGATAAGGAATTAAACTTATCTATCTATGGTAAAATTAGGTATTATTCCAAAATAGTAACAGATACTGCAGTCAAGATGATTAATAGAAAAATATTTTTGAAAAAGGTAGTTAATAGTTATCCTCTAAGACTCCGAATGGAGAGAGCGGATCAAGCATTGCGGATCGAGCGGACCAAGCGGATTGAGCGTAACAAAAGCGGAACTAGCGGATTAAGCGTAACAAAAGCGGATTAAGCGTTTCAAGTGCGGATCAAGCGAATCTAATGGTCCAAAAGTATGTTTGAATGGAAAAAGCGGATATAAAGCGGTTCAAAACACTGTACAAAATACTGTACATATTTATAATAACTATATAAGATATATATTTTATTTTATTATTACTAAAAGTATTAAAATTAAGAAAGTTTAATTTTTAAATACACATATAATTATATTTGATAAATTTATATATATAATTTTTAAACATATTATCTTTAGACAATTTTGATTGGTCAATAGTGTTTTTTTTTCAATAAGATAAACATTAAGTTTACTTGATGTTTTAGAAATTATTATGTATACATGAAAAAAATACTAAATATAGTATCTCAAATATTTTAAAAATAAATAAATTAAAATGAAAACTTCATGTAAAGAACAAATTATATATAATTAAATAAATTATTACTGTATATTAAGTTTTATAAACTGTTTTTTTAAATATCAAGTTATAAATAGTTAAGCTACTTCCAAACCAATTTTGGTAATTGGTTAAAATGATCTCTACTTCATTATTTATAGAAAAGAATAAAATTAAAATTAAAAAATAATAATATTATGAACTGTGCATATTTATTTTATTTTTATATACTATAACTTATTAAAATCAATTAAATGTATAATTTTTAATTTATAAATGCAGCAAATATAAATACCCACAATTAAATTTGAAATATAGCTTTATTATGGGTAAACAAATATAGTGGATAAGAATTATAAATTGATAGTCTGGATATTTAAAAATACTATTGAAATATATCATATTGATACATAACATAAAAATTGGTTAATCAAGGTTTGATAATTCTCATATGAGAAAATTAACTAATCAAATCTTAAGTTAAAAAGATTATTTTTAATAAAAAACAAATTAAAAAAAGAACTGTAAGTGGAACTCTTCAAACCACACCAAAAAATGAGTGGAACTACTGTTACAAGATCATCAGTTTCCTTTGATAACTTGTACCGCATGTGGTTTATTTTATATTTTTCTTGTTTTTTATTTATTTTTAATTCTGAACTGTTTTTGCTTTATTTTATTTGTGAATGGGAAACACAAATGTAGTTCCTCCTCTCTAACATATGAACCGTCTTTTATCCGCCTCCCATTCGAGGCCTAAACCTCTGGTCTTGCGGTTATAAAAAGAACAAGCAGCGAACCCAAACAAAGAACTCATTACAACAATGATTACGACAAGAACCTTTGTATCTGTCCTTTTCTCTGTCCTCTTCTTGTCTCTCCCTTTCTCCTCATTCTCCCAATCTCCTCCGTCGAATGCTGTCTATAACTCATTCCTCAAATGTTTCTCCAAGAGGACTAAATCCCCACAAACCGAGATCGCCAAAAATGTCTTCGCTCAGAGCAATCCATCTTACTCCTCCGTCCTCCGTGCATACATCCGCAACGCGAGATTCAACACTTCCTCTACCCCCAAACCCACGATCATCGTCACTCCTCGCTCCGATAGCCACGTCAGCGCCGCCGTCCTCTGCTCGAAGCCCCTGAATTACGTCCTCAAAATCCGAAGCGGCGGCCACGACTACGATGGCCTCTCTTACATCTCCGACAAACCGTTTTTCATCCTCGACTTGTCGTATCTCCGCGACGTCACCGTCAATATCGCCGATCAATCGGCGTGGATCTCCGCCGGAGCGACTCTCGGCGAGGTTTATCACGGAATTTGGCAGAAGAGCAAGATCCACGGATTCCCAGCCGGAGTTTGCCCGACGGTTGGTGTCGGCGGGCATTTAAGCGGCGCAGGGTACGGTAACATGGTGAGGAAGTACGGATTATCGGTGGATTACGTTGTCGATGCGAAGATCGTCAACGTCAAAGGTCAGATTTTAGACCGGAAAGCAATGGGCGAGGATCTTTTCTGGGCCATTCGCGGCGGAGGAGGAGCGAGCTTCGGCGTCGTTTTGGGATACAAAGTCAAGCTCGTTCCGGTACCACAAACCGTTACGGTTTTCCGGGTGGAGCAGTACATGGATTCCGGAGCTGTAGATATGACACACAAATGGCAATCCGTGGGTCCGAAAACGGATCCGAATCTGTTCATGAGAATGCTGATTCAGCCGGTGACGAGGAAGAAGGTGAAGACGGTGAGAGCTTCTGTGGTTGCTCTGTTCTTAGGCAGAGCTAACGACGTCGTTTCGCGGCTTGCTAAGGAGTTTCCTGAATTGGGTTTGAAGAAGGAGAATTGTACGGAGATGACTTGGATGCAATCGGCTTTATGGTGGGATAACGACGAGAACGCAACTACGACTGATCCTAAAGTGTTTCTTGATCGGAATCCTGATACCGCTAGCTTCGGTAAGAGGAAATCGGATTACGTGGCGACTGAGATTCCTAGGGCTGGGATTGAGTCTTTGTTCAAGAAGATGATCGAATTAGGGAAAATCGGATTGGTTTTTAATCCGTACGGCGGGAAAATGGCGGAGGTCGCGGAGGATGCGACGCCGTTTCCGCACAGGAAGAAGCTGTTCAAGATTCAGTACTCTGTGAACTGGAAAGAATCGTCTCCAGAGATAGAGAAAGGCTTCTTGAATCAGGCTAAGGTGCTACACGGTTTCATGACCGGTTTTGTGAGCAAGAACCCTAGAAATGCTTACTTGAATTACAGAGATGTCGATATCGGAGTGAACGATCACGGGCCGAATAGTTACAAGGAAGGAGAGGTGTATGGAAGGATGTATTTTGGGAATAATTTCGATCGGTTGGTGAAGATTAAAACCAAGGTTGATCCCGGGAATTTCTTCAGAAATGAGCAGAGTATACCTACCTTGCCAGGCAAGGCAGAGTGAAACCCTTTGTTTTGAAAAAATGAAGAGGTTTGGTTTCTTTATTAAAACAATAATGTTTACTGAAGGATAATATAATATATTATTTGGTGCAGTATAATATATATATTGTATTCATGGAACACTATAATAAGATTCTTTTACATTAAGATAAAAAGCGTATAACGTGGGTTGGTGTTAATCATCAAAATAGAAATTCAACACCGTTGAATGTTGAATTTTGCTACCTAATTTTGAAATTTGTGGCGCAAATTGTGGTCTTTGTTTGTTTTTAAATGGATTTTTGGATGATTTGAAGTTGTTTAGCAGATAAAGATGAGGTCTCGTGAGTTATTTTTGGATTATGTACAGCTATAAACAAAACAAAAATTGGATAATGTAATGAATGATAGCTACACGGTGGTCATGCATGATTCAGGAGCCGGAGGAGCTTCCGTCTTTGTAAAACTTGTGCCGATGGTCTTAAAGGTCAACGGTTTCTAGATAGATTCGTCATTCGTGTATCAAACGTGTACACTACACGTTTTGACGGAGTTCCGTTTTCGATTTTGATAGATAAAAGAACTTTTGGGTTTCTATTTTAATGCAACTTATGCAACTAACAAAAGAATGATTATTGATGTATGCTTCAAGATTCCAATGAGTAATAATGACATTGAATTCAATAACTACTTTATTTTTCATCTTTCTTTTTCTGAGGTTTAAACCACCATGGACTTTCGAACTTCGAAGGAGTACATGTAAATCTTGGTGAACTACCGTAACAACAAAGTTAACACATTTTTGCTGAAAAAGCAGGTTTTAAATAAGCCAAAAACGCATCGTAATTTCAATAACCGTTTTCGATGTATCTACTATTGACCAAAACCGGAAAAAAAAAAAGAACTTATAAAATCAATTAAACAGATTCTCATTAGTTTCTATATACTCTCACTCTTGAAGTATTCAACTGGAATTCTCGTAAAACAAACCCAAAAAATCAGACACAAATACGAAAT